GAGTGGAATTCCCCTTTAACAGAGCAGTGGTATCAGATCGAAGCTCGGTATCGGCCAATAGATATTGGAATTGGTATTGTGGGAGTTGGATCAGTGTGTCCTTACACAGAAGATTGGTCAGCATAATTGGGCATTATGTGAATCGTGCAGCTTCAGACTGTTCTGAGCCAGCGCGATGGCCTTGCTTGCACCAGAGGAGAGTGTTTGCTCAGTCACTTCATCGACTGGACGCCACACACACATACACACACACATATTCATTCTCTAAAGGAAACGGCTTGTCGGAAAGCTTTAGACACAGCCCAGTGCCCCCAGTCCTGTTGCTTAATTCCTGCTGCCCCTTGCTTAACCAGAACATCCATGATTGTTAATTTACCGGCAGCGGGAAGAAGAAAAGCCTCCAGTCCGCCTCCCGAATGTCCAACGGTCAAGTGCAATTCAGTCTAGCATGTGCAGCAAGCTTTCCACAGACGTTCCTGCTGCTCTGATGTCGCGCGGGGCCGTTTTTGGCTGTGTGTTTTTGGACTCGGTGGATGCGAATTGACAGCAGGTTCCTACTTGTTCCCTGAAGGCAGCGCTGCTTTTTATGAACAATAGTGCTGGAAAGCAATTCCATTCTCAATTTAGCCTCGTCGCTCTTCTGAGAGCGCTGTAGAGCTATTTTCTGACCCTGGTAATAGAGGGGGAGAGAGAGACGGACAGAGAAAGAGCGAGATGGAGGGAAGAGAAGGGGGGAGAGAGAGAGAGAGAGAGAGTGTGAGGATGGAAATGATGAGGAAGACAGAAAGTAGCCACAGTAATGGACCAAAAGAGAGGCTGATAGATGCTTACTGATAGTAGAACTCTCCAACTTGGGAGAGTTGTATGCAAAAGTTTGAACATCCTCGGCCAAATTACGATTCCATTACATTACAGGGCACTTAAATGTGGCATTTTACCTGAAATTTTGTACACAGTATCTGTTTTTCTGCTGTGTTTAGCATAATGGATAAAACAAAACATGCAATATAAATGTGCCATAACTATTTCACGGGCTAGATTTTAGGATCTTTTTCCCCAGTTTGTTAAATTCAGCAAATAAACACTAATTGTGCTTTAAAATGTACAGAAATGTTTACGATGTCAGGCTTGTTACAATAGAAAAACCCTTTTTGGTGCCGTATAGAACCCTTTTCAGGAAGGTTTTGTATAGAACCATCTACAGCACATTCTCCATCAGTCTGAAGAACACTTTCACGATGCAAAGAACCATTTAATCATGGAAAGGGTTCTTTTAGTGTTCATGGCTGTATATAGAACTATTTTCATTACTAAAGAACCCTTGAAGAACCATCATTTTAAGTGTGTAGGTTTTAATGAAGGTACACACGTGTGCGCTGGCATCTCCCAAGAGTGTTTAATGTCTCAGCACGACACTCAACATTATGCCATTACTACATTAAAGCCGTATCAAAGATCAGAAAGCCATAAACTTTAGTAAATCGAGCAAAATCAGGGCACGATTTAACACTTTTGTGCACGATCCTCCCACGTTTTGCACCCGTGAATGCACACTGCGCTTAAAAGGACTGAAATCCATTGACTCAGAATGCATATATAATGGAAGCCAATGGGCTGAAGCACCTTAGAAGAACATTGTATTTATTATAAGTTTGGAGTCGGTGGGGTTTCTGTTCATGTCTAAGTACAGGAATATCATTGCCCATGATCATCATGATACAGATGCTACAGACAGATAAGGCTGAAACCCTGGACTCTTCCTTTAGGAAGTTGAGAACGTTTTTTGAAGATGAAAGGTTAGAAGTGATGATATGAAGACGAGTATGTAAAGCTCAGCAGTGAGTCACTGGTCCTTCTCAGAAGGACGACGACAGTATTTACCTGACTTATGAGGCTCATTACCTTCCCATAATTCCTTTTGCAAAGAGTCTGACTCACTAGGCAAAAGCAGTCAACTCAGATATTTACCCAGCAGAGCCCAGCATCGTCAACATCATCGACTCGCCCTCCTGAGGAGCCCTCAGACACGCGTCCATACATCAATTACTGTCCAGTTTCTTTTTTTATCCACCTGTTTCTCTCTCACCCTCTATCTCTCTCTCTCAATGTCTTTCTGTCTCTCGATCGCTATCTATCTCCCTATGTCTCTCTCTCTCACACTCTCTCTGTCTCTCTCTCTCTCTCTCGCCCTCTCTTTTTCACTCTTTCTGTTTCTCGATCGCTCTCTATCTCCCTAGGTCTCTCTGTTTCTCTCCCTCTCTTTCTAAATGTCTTTCTTTTGATCGCTCTCGATCTCTCTCTCTCTATCTCCCTATGTCTCTCTCTCTCATACTCTCTGTCTCTCTCTCTCTTTCTCAGTCTTTCTGTCTCTCGACCGCCCCCTATATCTCCCTATGTCTCTCTGCCTGTCTCTGTTTCTCTCTCTCTCTTTCTACGTGTCTTTCTGTCTTTTGATCGCTCTCTATCTCCCTATGTCTCTCTGCCTGTCTGTTTCTCTCTCTCTTTCTAAGTGTCTTTCTGTCTTTTGATCGCTCTCTATCTCCCTATGTCTCTCTGTCTCTCTCTCATGCTCTCTATCTCTCTCTATCTCTATTTCTCTCTCTCTCTCCCCTTCTTTCTCAATGACTTTCTGTCTCTCGATCACTCTCTGTCTCTCCCTGTGTTCTCTCTGTCTCTCACATACTTTCACTTTATGTCTCCACTTCTTCTTTCTTTCTTTTCTTCACCTCTCTCTCTCTCTCTCTCTCTCTCTGTCTTATCTTGTGTTCTTTATCTTTGTTTCTTTCTTTTTATTCTGTTTTATTACTCTCTCTTTCTGGTGGTCTCTCTCTGTCTTTCTTTCTTTCTTCCTTTCTTTCTTTCCTTCCTTCCTTCCTTACTTCTTTCCTTCCTTCCTTCCCTCTTTCTATCCTTCCCACCTTCCTTTCATCTTTCTTTCCTTCTTTCTTTCCTTCCTTCCTTCCATCCTTCCTTCCTTTCTTCCTTCTTTTCTACCTTCCTTCCTTCCTTCTGTGTCTTTCTTTCTTTCTTTCTTTCTTTCCTTTCTTCCTTCCTTCCATCTTTCTTTCCTACCTTCCTTCCTTCCTTCTGTCTTTCTTTCTGTCTTTCTTTCTTTCCTTTCTTCCTTCTTTCCATCTTTCTTTCCTTACTTCCTTCCTTCTTTCCTTCCTTCTTTCTTTCTCCCAGTGCTCTGAATTTAATCCATCATAACTAGACAGATGATTGTCCGTGAGTTGTTGATGTGTTTCCATATTTCTTGTGATTGTACACTAGAGTAGCCGGCGTGTTGGCAGACTCTCCTGTCTGGCCATTTTTCTTCCATTTCTTTTTTCATTTCTTTCGCTCCTCTCTTCCTCTGCCTCTGACACTCCAGTCATAAGAATTTCCCAAATAGCCTTCTTTCTCTCTCTCTCTTTCTGTGTCAGTCTGAGCTGAGGTGCTGAGAGCTCTCTCAGAGACAAGGCCAGACTCATAAAGACCATCTTCACTCAGCCATCCCGTCATATCACTCTGCTGAGACTGGACCTGACTACTGTAGAGTGCTCTCCGCTTCCTCACATGATGCTAAGGCAGCTCTGATAGCACTGACACAATGCAGGTGTTACAGCTCTTCATATCATTCCTCTGGTTACCATTAGTCCCCTTCAGTCCTTTTATGGTACTGTCTGAATTATTATAATCTGCTGATTATACACCAAACAGCCACTTCATTACATACACCTCATTGTTTCTATACTCATTGTCCATTTTATGCAAATAAGATAAAGTTGCTGGTGGTACCAGAACAGTGGACTGATCACTCTATAGTCCATCACTGAATATGTTGGGATTACGCAGATCGTGACAGTTGGAAAATACAACCAACTTCTGACAACCAAAGACTGAACTTTGGAGGTGTGGAAAAATATCTCTGAAGATTCCTTTGAAAAACTGATAGTGAGTCTCCTGAAAAGAATGGAAGCTGTAATAAAGGTAAAGAGTGAACACACTAAATACTGAAAATGTATGTTTACGTTTGTTATGTTTAGTTGTTGAGGCTTCTGTGTAATTTTAAATTACATGTAAATAAGCTCCACTGACAAAAGATTAGGTTTTATAAATTGTGTGTTTAAGGTGGTAGTAACTTCAGCTCTTTCAGATGGCATTGCATGAGGATGATCGGGCTATATATACCTGTGTGGTGTGCGATGGGATTCATAGATTGAGAAGAGGTGGTACAGTGTAATGAACATCTCAATGTGTGGAAAATGGGTCACAACGCAGATGTTAATGATTGGCAAGAAGGAGTGATTGTATTTGGATGTGCCAAAGGCCACAGTGTGAAGGAAATAGGAAAATTGGTAGGACTACCTGGAACAATGGGTAAGACACCAGGGAAGGCATCAACCAAATCTGGCCGAACTGCACAATTCTTTGATGCAAAAGTGGCTGAACATTGGTGTCGCCTACATACAGAAACTTGTTCAGTCCATGCCAAATCAAATCACAGCTGTTATTCGTGCTGGTGGAGGTATTACAATCTATTAGGTACATTTCAGTAAATGGTGACACGTTTTTTGTCTGGTAAGCTTATGTTATCTGCTTTGTATTGTGTATTATGTTATTGATTATGCTTGTATGCGGTAGTGGAATATAGGGAATAAAAACAAAATGTGAAGCTTTTTTACACTTGAAGACAGCTTGAGAATTTCACTATGCCTGTAAATGAGTGTGTACTTTATTGAATATCATTACAATCAATAATAATCACTTGATTATATTGTACAAATAATTTTATATTATCAGTTGAATCCCCACCTTCAGGTCAATGCTGCATAAATTATCGCTCTCATCTCTAATAATCACCTACTTTGAAAGCATATCAAATCACTGAGCATCTCTTATAGGAACTATAAAATCTGTGAATCAGTGTTGATCCAGTCTGTTACTTCCTCCTTCTTCCCTCCTTCATCATTGCTCATTAAAGTCCCCCCAGTCACATTCTCTGATGTTTTTCACAGACGTTCCAGGGTTCCTCCCTGCTCTCCAAGTCCAAGAAGAAGAGCAAAGGTTTGTCTTTATTATTATTTTATTAATTTTTATTTTTCATTTCACATGCAAATACTGTCAAAGATGCCTCTGTCCATCAAATATACTTTCTTTTCTTGTTTGCGCATAATATATAATATGCAGCACATTTGATCTCCATCATAAGTTACAAGCCAAAAGTTTGGATGCAGCACTAACTTTGGCTGCCCTGTATAGTGTCTCATTCAAAAAGCAGTCTGGGCTGAAACAACGTTTATAATTTCAAAATGAGTGGGCAGAGCTAAACTGTTGTAGGCTGAATAGGTGGTGTATGTAAATGTGTTGGGTTTTGTGACGTCACAAAAACAGTGGATTCAAAACAAGCTTTTGCTGCTGGGCTGTATGGGTTGAGAAGGGAATGGAACATTGACAATGTCTGCATAGTTCTGATTTAAAAGAAAAAGCAAGGCAAATTTATTTTTCCATGCCCTTTAATGGTAAAATGTTTTTTGAAACTTTAAGACAAATCAGTGCTTGCTTCCTTACTTTTGGCCTGTAGTGTATTTACTCCACATTCCAATCAAACACAGAGATATTCCCTTTCATATTCTGTATCTGGGTTGAACCTGTAGGAGGTCCCCTGTCTTCCATCAGTAAGAGGAGAATTTCGTGTAAAGATCTGGGCCGGGGCGACTGCGAGGGCTGGCTGTGGAAAAAGAAGGACGCCAAGAGCTACTTCTCGCAGAAGTGGAAGAAGTACTGGTTTGTCCTGAAGGACGCCTGCCTGTACTGGTACATGAACGAGGAGGTGAGTGGCTCCGTAAAGCTGCTCAGCTGCCTTCATTAAGAATGAATAGGAACCTGACAGAGCCTGTCTGTTCACACTGAAGTGAGCAGCATGTGTGCATGTTGTTGTAAGTATTAGCAGGGATCAGGTGAAGTACTCCAGGTATGAATGTCTTACATCGCTGTTTTCGTGGCATCTGTAGGTGAAACAGAGTCACAGAGGGAGGTTAGACGAGCAGACAGGAGCACGCAGGGCTGAGCTTACAGGAGATTTTAATTGGTGTTGCTCCAGTCCTCTGGAGTGTGGACTCAGTGGAGATGAATTAATCCCAATGCACAGTAACAAAGCAGCAGAACACACGGCTACATCTTACAGCCTCCCTGGATCGAAAAAAATATCAGAAAAGAAACAAACCAAACGCTCTTTCTCAATCTCTCTCTCTCTCTGTCTCCTCTCTCTCTGATTAATGGCTTCTCTGGTTGTTCTCATTATTATGGCCTGGACTCTTGGCTGTTCCCTCAGGCCCTCGGTCAGCAGGGGGGATTTTGGTACAGATGGATAAATACATGGTTTGGTGTCGAGAGGTTAGGTCAGTGTAGAGGGGAAGTGGGTTTGGTGCAGAGAGCTGGGCCATTGGAGAGGCAAGCGGGCATTTGGCCCCAACATTTTTCAAAGTACCCACCACTTTCTGATTGAGTTCAGGATGCTTATCACTGCTGTCGGAAGAAAACCTTGTATCTCCATTTTTGTCATTTTTTGTTTTTTGGCATAATTTGAAAATACCTGTTGCCCTTTACATTGTGTGTATGATGAATGGACCAATGGAAACGGCCCAAAATGACTCTGAAAAAATTCTGGTTTCATTGACTTACATTAAAAGTGAAGTAGTTTTTTTCCTTCTCCTGTAAAGTTATCATTTTGGAGATACGAGGTTTTCTTCCGACAACAGCATAATGATTACAAAGCACTAATATACAGACAAAACAAACAAACCAACCTAATAAACTCATTATCAGAACCAATTAAAATCTCCATTTCTGCCGAACAGTAAATCCTTTGTGGGTTTGTGTTCAGTGAGAGGAACTGCAGTTCACTAGTTCAGTAAAAATGCTTTACTTGCAATACACAAATGAATACATTTGGCCACAGTTTATGTTACTACTCTCTGTGAATTTAATAAATGTCACTGTGAATATTTCTGAACTGAGGGCTCTTTCACACCTACCTTGTTTGGTCTGGGCCAGTTGAACTTTTCCCTTTAGTCCATTTCAAAGTGTACAGACTCCACCCGTATTCAGGTCCTCACCAAACAACTAAACTGTGGTCCAGTCAAAATCACAGGTCTTAGTCCACTACTTGTTAACCCTGCTTCAGTTCGCTGCTGGTGGGAACGCATTTTTTCAATGATCTGAATCAAATGAGAGAGTTCAACATTAGAGGACGCATTTCTCGATGCATATCAGCGCTGTACTGTATAGTTCTGCATAATGCTGTTTCAACATTTTGCTGTTTTACAGATGCTCACATCGTTCTTGCAGCACAAGCATCTGTCAATAATGGCAAAGCACAAAATAGCAAAGATATGCATTCGATTTTGGCACATGAATCTCAAAATGTACTTTTGGCCAAGCATCAGTGACCTGAATTCAAATTGAAATTTAAATTGGTAAACCAATCATAAATGAGCAGATATCAAGTAAGGTATATAATTTTATTGCTGTGATTGTGATACACATGAACAATAATTGAACACCTGCATGTGGAATTTGGTCCAATTTTTGTTTTTTGTTTTTTTTTTTCAAATTTTTAAATTAAGCTTTCAGTCATTGCAGAGTGAAACCAACCGAACCAAATGCAAAAGATACAATATTACAGAAAGCCAAACTCTGGTGTGGACAGGCTATGAAAACAGCCTGTTGTTTGTGAGAGATGTTAATCGTAAGAGATATAGATCGGAAAGAGTTTGGTGTAGAGGGGGTGAGTTTGGTGTAGATCGGAAAGAGTTTGGTGTAGAGGGGGTGAGTTTGGTGTAGATCTGAAAGAGTTTGGTGTAGATTGGAAAGAGTTTGGTGTAGAGGGGGTGAGTTTGGTGTAGATCTGAAAGAGTTTGGTGTAGATTGGAAAGAGTTTGGTGTAGAGGGGGTGAGTTTGGTGTAGATCGGAAAGAGTTTGGTGTAGATTGGAAAGAGTTTGGTGTAGAGGGGGTGAGTTTGGAGTAGACTGGAAAGAGTTTGGTGTAGACTGGAAAGAGTTTGGTGTAGATTGGAAAGAGTTTGGTGTAGAGGGGGTGAGTTTGGTGTAGGTTGGAAAGAGTTTGGTGTAGAGGGTGTGAGTTTGGTGTAGGTTGGAAAGAGTTTGGTGTAGATTGGAAAGAGTTTGGTGTAGAGGGGGTGGGTTTGGTGTAGGTTTGAAAGAGTTTGGTGTAGAGGGGGTGGGTTTGGTGTAGATTGGAAAGAGTTTGGTGTAGATTGAGGTTTGGTGTAGAGGGGGTGGTTTGGTGTAGGTTGGAAAGAGTTTGGTGTAGATTGGAAAGAGTTTGGTGTAGGTTGGAAAGAGTTTGGTGTAGATTGGAAAGAGTTTGGTGTAGAGGGGTGTGAGTTTGGTGTAGAGGGGCAGAGTGTGGTATAGATGGGTGAGAGTTTGGTATAGAGGGGCAGAGTAAGATCATTGCAGAAATGGGTGAGTTTCATACAGAGGGAGATTTTGGTGTACAGGGGGTTATTTTAGCTGTGGCTCTGCTCAGCCTGTTTCAGCTCCAGAGGGACGCCTCAGCCCCGGCCTCGCTGCGCTGTAATTGATGATCTTGTCCTCGTGTGCTGGGCTGCGTGGGTTTTGCAAACACAGGCAGGCTTACGGAGCCCCGCAACGATTTATGTCTTTCATTTATTCCTGTAAAGTCCCTGTCACGAGGCTTAAAGTGCTGCAGCAGCGTCTCCCCACACGAGAAGAATGGAGCCGGGGGAGAGAAAGGAAGGAGGTGTGACTCCTAATGAGGATGGAGGTGTCATTACAGTTGTGTGTAGGTGTGTGTGTGTGTGTGTGTGTGTGTGTGTGTGTGTTTTTTGTGTGTGTGTGAGATGACCTGACTTTCTCACGCTCTCTGTCTCTCTCTCCCTCTTCTCTCTCTCCTATTAGGATGAGAAAGCTGAAGGCTTTGTCAGTCTCCCAGAGTTTAAGATTGACCGGGCCAGTGAGTGCCGCAAGAAGTAGTAAGTGCCTCTGCAAACACTGCCTATTGTATGGGTGCATTTTGGAGAGTGTAGACTTTGAAAAAAATGTGTTATTCCCAGGATTATTACATCCTAAGGCTTGTTATTTAGGAATTACATGGAAAACAGTGCAAGCTCACTGAGTTATTCATAACTGATAGCAGTGAAGAATGGAGGCCTAGATCCACCGATGGGTCCAGGCCTTTTTAGGGGTTTAAGTAGTTTGCATGGAATTCTTTGCATTCGTTTAACCCCTTAAAATCCCAGGCTTATTGCATCCTAAGGGTTGTTACATGGAAAATAATGCAAACTGCCTATATGATCCTTAAGTTAAAGAAGTGTGTCATAAAAGACCCACTGGTGAATGCTGGCAATTTAATGGTTTAACTTGCAGTGTTTAGTTAGAAGAACATACTCCAGTGAATCTGATGTTACCAATAAAAACCATAGTGTGAACATTATTTTGTTTGAAGTAGAAACCAGATTTTATTTACCACAATAACAAGTGTTACTTGATTGTTATGCACTTTCACATACATACATACACACGTCATCTAAACCGCTTTATCCTTCTGGGTCGCGGTGGGGTGCTGGAGCCTATCCCAGCTGTCATTGGGCGGAAGGCAGGATACACCCTGGACAGGTCGCCAGTCCATCGCAGGGCAGACAGACAGACATACACAGTCACACACTCACACACACACTCACACCTAGGGGCAATTTAGCATGTCCAATCAGCCTGACTGCATGTTTTTGGACTGTGGGAAGAAAACCAGAGTACCCGGAGGAAACCCACGCAGACACAGGGGAGAACATGCAAACTCCACACAGAAATGACCCTAGTCGCCCGGCCGGGAATCGAACCCAGGCCATTCTTGCTGTGAGGCGACAGCGCCACCCACTGCACCAGCACTTTAACATAATACGTTATCACAGCATATGTGTCTTTGTGTAGCATTACATGTGAACATCACTGTGGTGAAAAATATTGTATCTCAATATGTAAGTACTGTAACTGTAAGTTATATTATCTGTTAGTAAAACCTAAAACATAATGTAATTTTAAAAGCACAATATCTATCGGATCATCATTAAAATGTTCACACAATGTAAAGGTCAAATGTTATTTTTTAAATGGTGAAAAAATGGTCGTGGTCATATGTTACGCACTGACCGCTCTCTGCCTCTTTGTGTTTCTGTCATAGTGCTTTCAAAGCATGCCACCCCAAAATCAAGAGTTTCTACTTTGCGGCTGACGGAGTGGATGACATGAACAGGTGGCTGAGTCGGCTAAACATGGCGGCGGCTGGCTACGCAGAGAGAGAGAAGATCCGTCAGGAGCAGGGTGAGGGCCGGGGTCTAGAGCTCCTCCCTTAGTGGATGGGGTCTGGTGGTTTTGGATTGCTGGCACCAAAACATTGTTAATGTAACCTGAGGCTGAGACAAACAGAATTTATGGAATCATGCAGTATTTTATATCATGAAGCCACAGTCACACTAGAAATGTGCACCTTAGGGATGTCAGATTGGACCTGAAAGTTGTACCTTAGAGACTTCAGACTAGACTCAGACTTGTACCTCAGAGACTTCAGACTTGACTCGGACTTGCACTATAGAGACTTTCAGTTTTGACTTAAACATGCTCCTCAGAGACTTTAGACATGAATTGTACCTGCGCCTACAAGACTTTCAAAATGACTCAAACTTGCACCTTAAAGACTTCAGACTGGACTCGGACTCTAGACTTCACTCTGACTTGAACCTCAGATACTTCAGATTTGACTCAGAGTTGCATCTCAGAGATTTGTGACTTGACTCAGACTTGCATAAAGACACTTGTGAACATTCAAAGGTGAAAGCAGCCAAAGCTGTTGTACTCTTGATGATGTAAATTCACGAGTCAGATTTTATCTGAAGTGTGCATGAAAGTTTATCACTATAAGAAGCTCTTAATCACAGCAGTTCCATTAAGAGTAATGATATTTTGCTTACTCCTTTCTGCTATGAAGCTAATGAATGAGTACCATGGAGGATGGACAACAGGACATGCTGTTGTTTCAAAATGAGGGCAGTGTAGAGAGAGAGAGAGACAGAATAGAGAGACACAGAGAGGAAGAGAAAGGGACTAAGAGAGGGACTTGAGGCAAGGATGTTTGGCTGAGGGAGGAATCAGTGAGGAGAACTGGTTTATTCCACTGAGAGCAGAGACAGAGAGATTGGAGCCGTCTCTGCACACACTCCCCACTGTGCCTCAGCACACACTTCCCCTCATCCCCTCATTCTGTCTCATCATCATCCCTCTATCTCTTCTGATTTGCTTCCCTCTTCCTTTCTGCCCTCTTCTCTCCCTATTACGCCCCTCCATCTCTTACTCTCTCTAGAGCAGGAGAAAGGCTGAGTGAATGAAGACGCATTCTCTTCTCTTCTCTTCTCTTCTCTTCTCTTTTCTTCTCTTTTCCTTTTTATGTTATTTTTCTTTTCTTCAATTGTCTTCTATTCTCTCATCCTCTCCTCTCCTCTGCTTTCCTCTCCTCTCTCTCTCTCTCTCTCCCCCTCTCTCCCTACGCATAGGTATCCGTGTGTGTGGATCTTGATGATGTAATTTAGGGCTCCATGAGGAGATCTGTATGTGTTTGTGTGCTGTATATGATTACATGCCTTTATTTAATTATTGTTTACTATGTGTTAATGTTTCCTATGAGCTACTGACTGACTCTCTCACTCTCTCTCTCTCTCTCTCTCTTTTTCTCTCTCTCTCTGTATCAGCTGACTACTGGAGTGAAAGTGACCATGAAGACAACGAGACACCATCTACACCCAAGCAGGACAGCCCACCACCCCCTTATGACACATACCCACGTCCCCCCTCAGTGAGTCAGCAACCACCCACACACATGCAAGTCTGCATAGGCATGAAGCTGAAGCCCAAACCCTGAACCTAAACAAACAGCTCTGAGACCCAACCTGATTTTCACCAACTGGTACTGATAAATTTGAAACCTGAACCCGAACTCAACCCAATCCTGATCTGATCCCGACTCTATCCCAAAGCAAACCCAGCCCTAATCTGAATCTGATCTTTATGAATTATTGCCGACAGTGTTTTGCAGTGTTTTGATTTGTTACTAAGTGCAAGAGAAAATTTCATGCTGGGATAAACTAGAGTTTCAAATACACTATTAACATTTATTAACTATTAACATATTTATTATCAGTAAATTGTTAGTGGCATTGTCGATCCTACCTGGCAGAAAACAGCATCCAGCATCCAACTGTCAGTTCCTCTGTATACTGCTTCTACCTGCAGGAATAGCAAGGGTTAAGAACCATTGCCAAACACATCCCTCTCATCATCCATGGTTTCATTCAGGGGCACGCTCACCCACTCCTCAGACTCCCCAGCTATTCCGAATGCAGCTAACATTGTGAGAAAGAAAGAGAGAGAGCACAGCAACACAACACAACAAAAAAGAGTCCAGTCTCAGCCTGATGATGCAATGAAAAATCGTCCCCAACCCTCACAAAACCCAATATTTTGCATATATACGATGTCAGGCTCTGGTCAGGTAGCAGACCTCTGACGCTCACACATACCCCATAGTAGCCAGTGGTGCTCTAGCCCAGTGTTTCTCATCCCAGTCCTTTGATGCCCACCAGATGGTCCATGGTTTTGCTCTCAACACACCCGAGCCATTAAGAACACCTCATACCCAGAGCAGGTGTGCTGCAGCTGGGATACAGCAAAAATGTGGACTGTCTATTGAGTCCTGACAATGTTATTTTGGCCAGAATGATGCAGTGGTTGGTACAGGAGATCTTGGCTACTAAACCAAAATACTATTCACTATGTCATTTGTTGTGAGACCCTCTTCCTGACTGCCATCCGTCCATATGTCACATCTATAAATACTTATATAATTATAGTCAACCTGAAGTCAAAATGGACATTTTTGACCTTGTTAGTTCATATCCTTGGTCATATTAAGCATCATTAAAAAGACAAAATTCTTATTTCTCTGAAATCTTTGTTAGAATTATAGTGACTTTTGCCACCTCTTAACCCTTGTGCGGTGTTCAGGTCTGTGGGATCCATTTTCAATGTTTACCAAAAGAAAAAATGATGATTTATTATTATTTCAACCTCAGATTCCTTCCTTTGCTCATTTTCTGTGAAGAACATATAAAATAACCCATTTTCAGTGTCTTCACTCTGTTCACCCCCCACACATTTATATTACCCATGCGGTGTTGGGTGAACCTGCAGGGAATAAAAGTGTGGAGGTGCTGTGTCTTTCACTCTGTTCTCCTCCTACATGGCCTGCTGTTAGTGTGTGTGTGTGTGTGTGTGTATGTATGTGTGTGTCTGTGTGTGTGAGGGTGGACAACATGGATAGGCTGCTGACTGGCTATAGCTGCTATATACGCTGGCCACTTGTAATTTTAAATATCTGGTATTTTTACATAAACTGTTATGGCTGTGTTGATTTAAAAACAATAATGTGGTGGGTCCATCAGACCACTGAGTAACACACACATAAACACCACACAAGGGTTAATGCCCTCAGACTTTCATTTTTGTTTTTTTTTTTATTATGAGTTGTTTCAGTTGATGAGTGAGGTACTTACATCTGGCAGTATTTGCACTGTTTTCTAATATTTTATATCGCATTGTGATGCTATGAGACCGTGAGGCTGCGAGGCGGGTCAGCTGATGATGGAGCGGCATGCACAGAGACACAGAAACACACACAGTCCGTCTCTTGCTCACACACGTTTGGTAGTTACACTCACACACAGGTTTATTTTAAAGATAACCTGACTTCTTTTGTCCTGAATTCATTTTCTCTTGCTTTTGCTGTGAAAGTGTGAGAAAAGCGAGAGCAATGTGGTTGATAAAATGCTAGACTGTTGACCAATGCTTCGTCTCATCTACATCTTAAAAAAGAAAAAAATTATGTACTAAAATCGAGCTTTCAACAAATAATAAATCGAGTTTCAGAAACTCGATTGTAGTACTTGTAGTACCATTTTTGACCAAAACCATTTATGGTAACTTATTTTTTGCAAAACAGACTGATTCTGCTGACCATCAGAGACTGTATTTGCTTTAGAACGCCTGCTTTTCACACTACAATCAAATTATGAAGGATAAAATCATGTCCCGTCCACAACTTTTCCAATTTAAATATCCCGTTTCACTTGGAAATATATCACTTTAAGAAATAAAAATGCATTCTGAACTTTGGCACAGGAGTAGGTGTAGGATGTAGGTTTAGGGTTAAAGTTTAAGGTTAGGTTTGGGGTTAGATTTAATAGAATCTTTCACACTCAACTTCAAGTTCAGTTGCATTAAACAGATATTTAGTTGAATGCAACTTAAAAACAGTCTGAGCATCTACAAAAAATCTACAGTGCGCTATCAAATAAAGTGTTACCGTTGTTTTTAAGTGTACCTCAGACAGTGTGTTCGGCGGTCAGTTCCGTTTTGTTTTTTGACATTTAAAGCATACACAGGAGCTGCATTTAGCGTTGATGATAACAGAAGCATGGTGTTGTTTGAAATGAATTATTTCTCACCTTTTGTTTAGCTAAGTGAAACACATTTCGGCAAAGTTTAGAGAAATTAAGCCGAAAGTGTGAATTCTGAACAATCCATACCACGATTGTTTTTGTAGAACAGAAAAGTCAGAAATGTGTCACTTTGTGAACGTGTCGACAGATTGTACATCAATTATGCATGTAATTTATTATACAACTAACAATGTGATTAATTATGTAATTACATTTAAGAAGTATAAAGCAAAACAGCTGTAATGGCTCTTGACCTCACCAGCCGCTGCTTTATTAGGCTGAGCTCAGGCTATAATGTTTTCAGAGCTGCGTGTATGTGTTTGCGTGTTTGCGCGTGTGTGCGTGTGTGCGTGTGTGTGTGTGCGTGTGTGTGTGTGTGTGAGTGTGTGGGGTGGTTTAGTGGTTTAGTGCTCTCTCTCTCTCTTTCTCTGTCTGTCTGTCACTCTCTCTGTCTCTCTGTCTCTCTCTCCCTCTCCCTGTACCTCTCATTTTTTTTCTCTCTCATTCTCTGGAGTTTGTGCTGGGAATGCTGTGTTTGTCTGGGCTGAGTGGTCAGGCCGGTTCGGGTCAGCACACGTCCACTGCAGAGCTACAGTATAAATAGCTCTGAGAGTGCAGGGAACAGAAATGCAAGCACAGTGGGTCCTCATACAGAGACCATACACAACCAGCCAGAGGTGAAAAGCAACAAATTACTAACAGACTGCTATAATATTTATGAACATAAAATATATCATCAAACTTTTTCAAACAACTATAGTTTTTTTCATTGTACCTTCAAATACTGCACACAGAAATAATAGTCTGTAGGTTTGGTAGAAATGTAGGAATGCTGCATAAAACCAAATTTGACCAATTAAGTTTCAAAGATGAAAGATTTCATATTCTTACATAAAAAATTCAGCGTGCAATAAACTAATCTTAATTATTAAAATTGAAATATTATTCTTAGACTTGTGTTTATATCCAGTTATTTTTTCAGTTTAGTCATTCTATAAGCAGTTATTTAAGATGTGATTCATAGACAGAAGTTTCAAAATATTTGGGACAGTATGTGAAATGCAAATAAAAATAGAAAGCAGTGAGTGCGTTTACATGCACTCAATATTCGGATCAAAAGTCAGATTTACGCAGTTATCTGATTATTCAAATGGTCATGTAAACAGCATAGTCTGATTTCTTAGATCAGAGTAAGGTCTAGAAATCTGATTAAGAAATCCAATAAAGAGAACTTGTTTTTTAGGTCAGTAATCAGATTTGTCAGTGTATGTAAACTCTTACTCTGATTTCTTTCGGATTTCTCAGTCTGCACATGTGCGAAAACAGACAGCGGTGCCAGAAATAAGCAAGCAGCAAAACACTTTTGGAGCGACGCTGAAACTTCTTTTTTCCTTTTTAGCCCAAATAACATCTCTTATTTTCATAAACAGATTCGACATCAGATTCAAAAACAGTGTACGTTTACAAAACTATAATGAAGTTGATAAAGTAAAACTACAGATCAGAGTGGATTTACAAATCACTGCTTTGTATTTATTTGCATTTCATATCTCTGCTGTCAGGACAAAACCTCATATCTCAATTTTTGTCATTTTTAATTTTTTGGCATAATTCGAAAGAGGCAGTTGCCCTTTATGTTGTCACAAAATTTTATGATGAATGGACCAACAGAAATGGTCCAAATTTACTTCCATTAAAAGTTAAGAGCGCTTTTCCTTCTCCTGTAAAGTTATGTTTTTGGAAACATGAGGTTTTGTTCCGACAGCGGCGATATACTGTCCCAACATTTTTGGAATTGAGTTTTGTAGAACCTGATGTAGAACCAAACTTTAAAAATGCATAAAGAACTTTCTGGAGTTTTGATATTTTGCATGGTTGCATGAATTAAGTAGCAGTCTTGAATGCTTTGAATGGAAATAACCCAGACCGCTGAGAGCAGTGTGAATAATATGTCACCTGTGTTTATTATGCAGTAGATGTCTGCGATAGTCGCAATGTGGAATGCTAATGAGAGGCTAATGTGTCTGTTTTGTGTGTGTGTGTGTGTGTGTGTGTTTGTGTGACCAGCCCCCTTGTGCTGTGTATGCTCTCCGTTGCAGTGCCGACGGGCAGGTCATTCACAGGGCAGAGAACACCGCAGAACGGCTTTCTTTACAAAACACACAAAGAAATTGGAATGAAATCCTTTTATTCTCCCGTCTGCTCTTTCTTTTGCCTTTCTCACACACACTCTCTGTGCCCTGAGAGAAGCAGGCGAGGAGTGACATTGTTAACCGCGGGACCTCCAGAGTAGGCTGCTTGTTTTTCACGGGGGGAAGATTACAGAGCGAAGCCTTTTTTTACACAGGCTTTAAATGGTTCCTATGGGAAAGAGACCATCTTTCTCTCTCTCTATCTCTCTCCCTCTCACTCTCCCTCTCTCTCTCCCTCTCTCTCCTCTCTCTCTTTCTCTCCTCTCTCTCTCTCCTCTCTCTCTCCTCATCTCTTTTGCTTGCTCTTTCAATTCAGTTCACTGTCACTTTATTGGCATGCCTGCATCTAGTACATAAGGAATTATGGCTCGCAGAGGTGATATGGCTTTAACTACTTAGAAAAAGCAATAATTAGGGCTGTCAAACAGTTAAAGTAATGAATCGCTATTAATCACACTTTTTCATGTAGTAAAACACCTTTAATCGCATTTGTCTTATTTGCCCAAATTTGACTCTCAGTAAAGTTCAAAAAAAGTGCATTTTGCTATGGCAATGTAAGTGGACAAAATCAGTTTTATCAAAATGCATTTATTTCTTACTGGACATCATGTATATGCAGCGTTCACATGAACATGACAATCATGTGCTTTCAAAAGGGTTTCCAGTTTTCATCACCAACATCTAGTGAAAGTGGTAGCCATGTGAGGCCAGATGTCATCTCACAACAAGAATGCAAATTTTAGGCTAATATATATATGGTTATATAGACTTATTAGGGTGGGAACAGTCTGAGTGTGAAATTTTGAAATCAGTTCAACACCTTGTGAAGATGGCACTCAAAGTAGGGGGCGATGGTCAACACTGTCTGATTGACCTCAAGCCTGTCGTTAGCCCATGTATGTTATGTAAGTTAGCATGGCTGGATAGTCTTCCCAAAAAACTTCAGTTAAACATGTAGATATGTGTTGCGTATGTGGAGAACGCATTACATATATCAAAATGTGCAGCACGTGTGAAATATCTCTGTAGTATAAAGATTTTTTGCTTTTTCTCTCTTTAATGTTTATGTTGTTAATTCATCACCATTCCCATGTGCAATATAATCAGTATTTCATGTGCAATATTCCATGTGCAATTCGGGTAAAATATCCTTACAGTGTACATTTTTTTGTATTTTTATTTATAATGTTTATACTGTTAATTTTGATTTGTAAGATTTTTTATCTTCAGTATTATATATTTTGTCTTTACAGCAATAAGTAACAAACTGTAACCTTGTTAAGTAATTAACGAGGTTAATTACCTTATTTATTCATTCTTTTCTTGTTACTTCTTTTCAAGAGTGCCTTGTTATCTCTTTGCTGCTGTAGCACTGGGAATTTCACCGTTGTGGGACTAATAAAGGATTATCTTAAAAATAAAAAGTCCTTTTTGCAAGGTTCTGTTAGGTATTGACAGCATTTCACTAGCTAGCTTGTTTTGCTTGCATTTTTAATGCCTCTACATGCTAACTGAGCACAAACTAGAAGAATCTGGGGGTGGGTTTTACAGGGGGTTCCCTTGTTAGCAGTGAATTTTGCTGCAATTCAGCATCAAAAGTCCCAGACGTGTATTCCTGGCACAAGATCATATCTGGTCCCACGAGACTTTGGCTGATATATATGGTTTATATATACAATCAGTGCTTCTAACTCCTAAGTGATTGTAGCCTCTCGCTCTCGCTCTTGCTCTCATTCATACAGCTCGTGGATAGGTTACCTACAACAAACTTGTTGGCAGTCTATCCAACTTACCACAAACCAATCCACCAACATTCCCAGGCTTTGAAAACATCTTCATTCTCTAACATTTCTACGATTTGCTGCAGGCAACCGCAAAAGGATAACTATTGGCACACTACTACTGAAGGGTTGTCCCATTTCATAGGGAATTATTTCAACCACTACCCCTTGTAACTCAGTGGCACTCAAAAACAAGGGGTAGGGGTAAAAATAAGAAATAAGATTGAGCCTTGGAGCCTTTTTAACCCTCAATGTTGCTTCCCTAAAGAATTAAGTGATCATGAAAAGGTTCGGAGGTTCCACCATTGTTGTTTGCTTTTGGGATCTGAAGGAGTGTTTGGACCCAGAACGGCTATTACGTCACACGCGGCATCAGACTTGAAAAGCAGATGAATGGTTAATCGTGTCAAGCTAGTAAAACACACTAACGGCATTAAAACTAATGGTGTCATTATTAAAATGTCGTGTTAACTGTATTAATTAAAATAACAGTGAAGATGTGTTTATGAGGACAACAATATTAAATGCTTTTTATCTCTCTCATTCTCAAGTAATTAGAAGTCAGTGTTTCCTCCTAATTTCAAGCTCTCTGTCTACCGAAAGCAGGGGAGGAATGTCGGACTATTAACAGCATTCAGCCCCCCATTCCGCCTCAGCTATTTCTCTCCTCAGAAACTACAGGGTCCATTTCTCGCTCGCTCTCTCTTCCTCTATCTCGCTGCCCTATTGAAGAGAGAGGAAATGAAAGGGTCAGATTCTTCTGCTGGCTCTATTCACTTCAGTTTATTTATGTTGTGTCTAAAGGTGAAACAAAAAGCTCTGAGGTGTGCGTCACTGCCACCGCTGTCATAGCTGCAGCCGCGTCCATATTATCAGCCCATCAGTGACTAATGGTCTTCTTAGTCACCTAAGATTCTGTCAATGGACTAATTGCATTCATTTGTTTACTTATTTGTTTGTTTATACAAATGTATTAAAGGTGTTGAGATGACTTGCTATTTGCATTCAAATTGTAGATTAATGATGTGGAGCTGATGCATATTGGTCATATGTCTCAGCAAGATGTTTTGCTATTATATTTATAGCTAATGTGTTTGTCCGATTGCAAAATGCCTGTTTACAAAAGTTCCAGCTTTAAGTGATTTTTAATCCATTATTAAAATTTTCAAGTGAGGAACACTCAGGGCCCTAAAGGCCTTCAGAGGAGGCAATTTAGCATGTCCAATTAGCTTAACTGCATGTTTTTGGACTGTGGGAGGAAACCGGAGTACCCGGAGGAAACCCACGCAGACATGGGAGAACAGGCAAACTCCACACAGAAACGACCCTGGTCGCCCGGCCGGGAATCGAACCCAGGCCATTCTTGCTGTGAGGCGCCAGCGCCACCCACTGCGCCACCGTGCCGCCCTTACTGTAATAATATTCATGTTTAATTTTTAAGTTGTTTTTGGAAGCAAAACACTTAAAATCTTGAAACGGCCATCTAGGACCCAGCTAGGTGGGACCGATTTAGTGAGAAAACACATCACTCTAGTCCTTTTAGAAATCCTAGTTAACTCATTGAATACTAATATACAAGGGACATCTCTGAAAAAGATGTTGTCTAGATGGCAGCATATGTTGCTCCAAATGTGTATGTGTATTAATGGTACCTTCGCAGATGCAAGTTACCCAATAATAACCCCTTGACAGACCCTGCCTTTTGAACTATTTTTTTGGTAACAGTCGGGATGGTTCTTTTTCTCTTTGGCTCTTGGAACATGATATCCATTATTTCCAAAACTAATTTGAAAGGTAGACTCATGACTTTGGTGGACAGAGCTTTAGCCCATAGAAGTCAGCGGTGTTTCTCAATGTAGTTCATATTTGGCTTCTACTTTGCGTAGCAGAGTCTTGTATTTGTAGATGCAGCAAAGTGACAGGAGTTCTCTAAAGTATTCAGAAGCAACATTGCAGTCGTGCAACCATGCATTTTTATAAACTTTTGGACTATTTACTCATACACAGTCACGATAGCATCACCTGTTACCTAGTCACTGTTTACTTGTGGAAAGTTCCAAAACAGGTGTCTTTGATCATTCCACAAACTTCTCAGTCTTACGTTGTCCCATCCCAACTTTTTTGGAATGGATTGCAGGCCTCGAATTTGGAATTAGCATATATTTACAAAAAAGGTGAAAAGTATTAAATATCTATGTTCTTTGTGCTGTTTTCAATTAAATGCATGTAAAATGACTGCTTTTTCTTTATTTTATTATTATTATTATTATTATTATTATTATTATCATTGCAATGTATCTACTGTCTCAGCTTTTTTGGAATCGGGTTTGTAAGTCAAAGGCCAGTTGAGCATTTAACCTGGATTTACAGTGGACCATAAAATAAAGTGTACTCTGGGGCAGCCTGGGGCATCTCTTTTTGTAACGCATCAGCTAAACTTCTCTGCCTCTCTCTCTTTCTCTCTGTCTCTCCTCCAGATGACTTGTGCGAGTCCGTATCTGGAGCCCAAGCATGGCCGCTTGTCATCCACCGAGACCTCCCAGTCGCGCTCCTCTCATGAGGAGTATCGCTCTGAGCCTCCAGGGGGTGGCAGCAGCAGTGGCGGTGGCTCTCCTGCCCGCAAGTCGGCCAGCCAGCGGCGCTCCTGGCAGGACCTGATTGAGACGCCGCTGACCAGCTCGGGGCTACACTACTTGCAGACGCTGCCTCTGGAGGATGCCGTGTTCTGCGAGCCGGGTGTGGGTCTGTCCCCCGAATATAGACGCCAGTCCACGCTGCCCGCCCAGCGCACACTCCTGCAGGAGCACTACGGCCCCTTCCCCATGGCTGAGGGCGAGAGGCTGCGAGACCCTGTGACCGCAGGAGGAAAACCCCGCAGCTTCACACTGCCACGGGACAGCGGCCTGCATGCCCTCCTCACACCCTCCTCCAGCATGGCCGAGCAGCGGGACCCCCAGCGCAGGGAGCTGAGTCGAAGCCACTGCATCGACAACGGTGGGTTTTCACTACTGTAATGTTGTTGCTGCCCTTTTCATTGGGAAAATACAAGAACAGCTAAAATATGTTACATCAGGCTAGTTTTTCAGCCTTTTAAATGTGTCTAAACAACTTTATTATCTCACAGAATTTCTCCTGAACTAACGTGACTTTAGATCAAAACAAACATGGCAGACGAGATCGAGGCTTAGAGTGCTGTAGCAGTTATGAGTGGGTGTCGCTGTGAAAAGCTATCTTTTAGTTTTCAAGTTGATAAGAATAAAATATGTTTTATTCTAATGTTTAATTAGGCTCAGTACTCAGTTCAGTTCGGCTCCCACTGGTTAGGAGTCCTTAACAGATGATGTCAACCCTGAATTTCATATGAGGCAGTCGGCGTCGTGCCCAGTCAGGATGTCCACGACTGGAATGTTACTAGATGTAAAGGATTAAGACTGGATTATGCACACCCCACACCACAGGATAATCTGAAAGGGTCATTGTTTATGACCAGCCACAACCACCTCAACAATAATGCTAATTCCTGCTACTTTTCCTGTGAGATTTCTAATAGTGTGCTAGCGCTAATCTAACACTGCTGAACATGAACATTATAACCACAGAGAACACACATCTACTCATTTTCATGCAAAATTACTGTTTATTTACTGAATTTAACATACTGGGGAAACATAAACCATAAACTGTGGCCTGTGCAAAAGTTAAGGTACATCTTATATTGTATATATTTTTTTCCAATATATTTAACTCAATTTAAGCAAGTAAACAGATGTTGTGAAAAATAAGTATAACTTTTGCATATGTCTGTATTTTACCTTGTATGTAACAGTTTTACAGTGAGTCTTTACGTAAAGAAACTTGGCACTGTTTTCTAACTTCTAGAAGGCCTAGAGTGACATTTTTCTCACTACATTGACCCCCTTACTGAAATCAATGTTATTGTTTAACATATAAGGCCTTTAAACCAGCTCCTGAAGGCCTAGCCAATGGGAGATCTTGCTTGACTATATCCATGTAGATACCATGGAGAAAAAAATCTTGATTGGAAATATTTTCGTTGGCCATTTAAAGATTTTAACCCTTTTTTTTCCCCAACCAAAACTATTAAAAGGGTGCATTAATACCCAGTAGTTGCAGAGTTTATAAATAGCAAGGTTTTACTATAAATATTGTAATATAATAAAACTGAAAATTACAGACGTGTTTTTTTTTTTATCTCACAGAAATCTTTAGGCCTTCTCTGAAGGCACAGAGGGCCCTGAGGCTTGACTCAGTATATTTTATTCATGTGGAAATGATGTGTATATTTGAATTAAGTAAATTCATACAGGCAACCACTGCTACAAGACTAAAACATAGTGTTATTCTAAAATCTAAGCTGTTCAGTAGTAAATCTCTTGAGCAAGCGCACATTTAGAAGCAAAAGAGAAAGTTGTTTGCTGTTGTTCTGTTAGAGAGAACATTTATTATTAATGCTAGCTCCTGTTATTAGGCGTAAGCCCGTGTATGTGATGGTATTACAAAGAGCAGCGCCGGCAAGCCCAGGATTGTGAGAAGATATTGCAGTCTGGCTGTGAAGCAGGTCTTTGTATATTAGTTTGTATCGTGTGCTGTGTACCACAGTCAACTCCAGAGACTTTGGCAAACAGCGAAAAGCAGCTATTTATGCCTTGTGATCTATTTTTCTCCTTTAATAACGTGATTTCTCAATTGCTGGTGTTGCATTTATGTTGATATGTAAGAAACATGACTTAACAGATCCAAAAACAGCTTTGAGCAGCAATATACTTCACACAACGGTCACCTTTTATTGTTACTCAAATGAATAAATAATAACCTCTGAGCAATTAAGGCAACATGATGCTTCTTGTATAGCATCATAGACAACATGGTAGCACACAGAAAGCTCTACTTCCACACATTCTTAGAAAGAACTAGGGATGCAGTGGTACACGGTATATTGTCAAACCATTCGATGCGGTTCAATATGCACATCTAAACCGCAGTATTAGAATATATTAGTCATTTTCCTATAATTTCCAAAACTTGTTTATTGCACTGTGGACAACAACGTAGCTATAGCAAACGCTACTGAGACAGAGAGAAGTTAAGGCCACAACACACCGAACGCACCACATCACGTCACGCAAAATCTTTGTTTTTACTGGAGATATGCACAGAGCCAGTTTACGAGGAGCCTGGCCACTTCCTATTTCCACTGTTATATCAAAAACATAACTGCAAAACAGCAGAGGGCACCCACGAGCAATCCTCAATGAATGGCACAGCGGCTAAAAATGAAAGTTAAAATAATTTCTAATCACTCGCCCAGAACTTTCCTTTAATTTTAGAAAGTAGAAGGATGTATTTCACTAAAAAAGCAAAGAAAACTCACCTGTATGTTTCCTTTTTTTCTACAGCAAACGGGTTTTCGTCAGCAGAACGCTGGTATTACTGCTTCTGAGTGCTGATTGGTTGGTGAGCGGAGCAGTTCATTGGCTGTTCGCACTCATTGGCGTCATGAAGGCGCCGTTCTATACTTGAGTTTAAAAGCTCTTAAAAATATAACAGCAGTGTTAAAATGTTTTATGCTGTTCTGTGTTCAGTTTATGAATGTATTCTTTTATATTAAAAATGTTTAAGCATTTATAAACTATAATTTTGCTCAAATGCTTCACCTTAACCCATTCATTTTGGACTCACTCGGGAGCGCCCTCTGGCGTTTGAGAAACCCGGAAGACATGACAGAGCGGTAATTCTCCTCTCTACAAGTTCTCTGGTATGCACAAAGGCACCGGAGCTCGAGTCAATGTGCAGTGGTGCTAGCGACTCCGGCGCGTCTTTTAGCTAAACAGACAAATGCTAATGGTACGTTACCTAAGCTAATGTTACTAGCCTAGCCTTTTTCAGCTTGTGTCTTTCAGTTTGAAAACAGCCAGCTGGTGAAGAGGCAGTAAACGGATGCCAAGCGTGAAAAGTGATTCTGAACACCTTATTTCATTCGATTTGTATAAGTAGAATGTAAAAATAAACTTGAGCCTGGCTATTATTGGCTCTCCCTGCCGGCAGTCTATAGCAGCGCTCTGCTACATGATGCTGTGCAGCCAGGCGCATCCGGTGTGCGGTGGCCTTTACAGTGTCCCCTTCAGCACACATTTCAGCAGCAAAGTAATTCTCAAACTCTATGAAACATCACGGAGAGAAATTGAAAACAGACTGATTCAGACACGCTATCTAGCTCTCTTTGATTATTTAAAATAGAGAAGGCAAAGTACCTACAGGTTGTCAAAGCTAAGAAGCTCTTTTAATTTTAATTAGTTTTTTCCCTTGATTTCATACAGAAACAGAAACCAGGCCTAGTCAGTCATGCTGCCCCAATGCTGGCCCAGAAACTGTGATACATACCAAACCGTGGAGCCACTTTACTGATGCTTTCGTAGAAAGAACTGTACCTTTCATGGTATAAATCGCTGCTGTCAGGACAAAACCTTGTGTCTCTGATTTTTGTAATTTTCCAGTTTTTGGTATAATATGAAAATGCCTTTACATTGTTTGTAAATTTCATGATGATTGAACCAAAAGAAACGGCCCAAAATAACTTGGAAAAACGTCATGTTCCATTGACTTACATTAAAAGTAAAGTATGTTTTTTCCTTCTCCTGTAAAGTTACCTTTTTGAAGATACGAGTTTTTTTTCCAACAGCAGCGAAATGCTGTCACTCGTGTGGTACCCTCGAGCGACGTCTTTAGACAGGGAACGTAGCTGTACCATATTCCAGTGCAGTTAAACATTTATGCATTGATTCCATACATTCAGTCTTAACTGGCTTCAGCTTTTCTACTTTAAGTAGTAACTTCCAGTTTTGTAAATCATATCATATTTATGTCAAATTATATTCCATCAATGTTACTGAAAAAAAAAAAAAATAATTCCACTAAGAGACCTTCCAAACAGGCAGCTACTGTAAAAAGGGTTAATGACCATGCAGACGCTTTGAGGGTACATTTACATTGTTTCAAAATTTAGAGCACAAAAAGTATCTGTGTACAACTGAAGAATATACCAGTAGTGAGACGTTAGATGGCAGGTTGCTAAATGCAAGCGCTCTGCTACTTAAAAAAAACAGGTTCTCATTCCCCCTGAAAGGGCCCAAAAACACGATCACATCTTAATTAAGTTTTAATAGCACAGCTCATTAGGAACAAAATGTAACTAGGGCACTGTGGTACCTTTGATAGGCTGCTGTTTGATTCACACTCAGGCGATCAAGAGAAGTTGTGCAGAAGTAGCTTTTGTTTGTTCCAGGTTTCTGAAATCGTCTTTGTTGAAATCTCTTTTGTGTTATAATCAAGCGTGCAGGAGATGTGGATTCTTTCTGCCACTTTTTCTTTGCTCTCTCTCGCGCTCTCTCTCTCTCTCTCTCTCTCTCTCTCTCTCTCTCTCTCTCTCTCTCTCTCTCTCTCTCTCTCTCGTTCTCTCACTCACTCTCTTACTCCTTTCTCTCTGCTTATTTCTCTCTATCTCTATTTCTGGGGCTCTTTGTTCTGTCTAACTCTCCTTCTTTTTTCCTATCTCTTTCTCACACTGATTTTTTTTCTCTGTTTTCTGTCCTTCATTTCCGTCTCTTTCTCTCCCTCCCTCTACTTTCCCCTCTCTCTATTTCTCTCATCCTCTTTTCTCTCTCTCTGTCCTTCTTTCTGTCAGTCTTTCTGTTTTTTCTGTTCTCTTTCTCTCATCATTTCCCTCTATTTCTCTTTTTTCTCTCTGTTTCTTTGTCCGTCTCAAGTTCAAGTTTGCTTTATTGACATGACAAAATAACTACATTTGTATTGTCAATTGCAACAACTATCAATGATTTATATAATAAAAGATAAAGCAAAATGCTTAATATAATAAATGCATATATGTAAGTCAGTTATATACATTAATGTAAGTCAGTGGACTTTTGATACGAGGTTTTGTTCCAACAGCAGCATCTATATATCATTGTCCATTTTATCAGCTCCACTTACTATATAGGTGCACTTTGTAGTTCTACAATTACAGACTGTAGCCGATCTATTTCTCTGCATACTTTGTTACCCCCCTTTCATCCTGTTCTTCAGTGGTCAGGACCCCCATGGACCCTCACAGAGCAGGTACTATTTGGGTGGTGGATCATTTTCAGTACTGCAGTAACACTGATGTAGTGGTGGTGTGTTAGTGTGTGTTGCGCTGGTTCGAGTGGATCAGACACAGCAGTGCTGCTGGAGTTTTTTAAACACTGTGTCCACTTACTGTCCACTCTATTAGACACTCCTACCTTGTCAGTCCACCTTGTAGATGTAAAGTCAGAGACGATAGCTCATCTGCTGCTGCACAGTTTGTGTTGGTCATCCTCTAGTCCTTCATCAGCGGTCACAGGACACTGTCCACAGGATGCTGTTGGCTGGATGTTTTTGGTTGGTGGACTATTCTCAGTCCAGCAGTGACACTGAGGTGTTTAAAAACTCCAGCAGCACTATACATATACTTATATACATATAAATACTACCCCTTTCTAAAAAGTTGTGCAAAATCTAAATTAAAACAGAATGCAATGATGTGCAAATCATTTAAACCTTATATTTAATTAGAAATAGTACAAAGACAACAGACAGAAATTGAAACTGAGAAATTTTATTGTTTTTTGAAAAAAAAATACGTGCCTATTTTGATTTTAATGCCAGTTTCAAAAAGTTGAGACAGAAGCATGTTTTCCACTGTTCTGCAACACTCGTTTGGGAACCAAGGAGACCAGTTGCTGTAGCTTTGAAAGTGAAATGTTTTCCCGTTCTTGTTTGACCTAGGATTTCAGCTGCTCAACACTTCAGGGTCTCCTTTGTCATATTTTTCATTTCTTAATGAGCCAAATGTTTTTAGTGGTGACAGATCTGGACTACAGGCAGGTCATTTTCGCACCCAGACTCTTTTACTACTGAGCCATGCTGTTGTAATACGTGCAGAATGTGGTTTGGCATTGTCATATTAAAAAAGACGTTGTCTGGATGGCAGCATATGTCACTCCAAAACGTATATATATCGTTCAGCATTAATAGTCCTTTCACAGTCACTCATGCCATGTGCTCTAGTGCACATCTGTGCAGTCACAGATGCTGGCTTTTGAACTGCGCTGATAACAAGTCAGACAGTCCTTCTCCTCTTTAGCCTAGAGGACGTGACATCCATGATTTCCAAAAAGAATTTCAAATGTTGATTTGTTGGACCACAGGACAGTTTTCCACGTTGCCTCAGTCCATCTTAAATGAGCTTGGGCCCAGAGAAGTGGGCAGTGTTTCTGGATCTTGTTTATATATGGTTTCTTCTTTGCATGGTAGAGTTTTGACTTGCATTTGTGGATGCAGTGATGAACTGTGTTCACAGACAGTGGTTTTCAGAAGTTTTTCTGAGCCCATGCAGTGATTTCCTCTACAGAATCATGTCTATTTTTAATGCATTGCCATCTGAGGGGCCTGAAGATCACAGCCATCCAATATTGGTTTTTGTCCTTGTCCTTTGCTTTTAATGATATTATGGACCATAGATGATGATATCCCCAAGTTTATATATACATACATATATATAATATGTGTAGTCATATAAAAATGACATGTATAACATCAAAAACATCATATAACATAATGTTGATTGTCAAATATATCTATATATATATATATATGTATATAAAATTAAGAAGGGAAAAAAACCTTCTTTCTCTGTCGGTTACTTTCTGTTCCCCTTCTCTCTTTCTCTCCCCATCTTTCTCTCTCTCTCTCTCTCTCTCTCTCTCGCTCTGTGTGTGTTGGTGGATGTTTGTGGACAGTTCAGTCTGTTCTTTTGCTTCTTGCTGTTCTGAGATCCTCCACACTCGCTCTCAACACACACACACACACACACACACACACACACCTGCACTCTCTCTCTCATTGTGTTCTCTCACAGAAGCAGCAGTGTGTGTCTTCAGCAGAGGCTCAGGTGAAGCTGTGGGCAGCACTGAGGGGCTGAGAGTCCAAAGCCCCTGCAGCATATTCTCCACTGCACTTTAGGGCTGTGCAGTATGGACAAAAAAACACACTGTGATTAGCTCATCCACACTCCACCTACAAATGTGTTCTTTTGTAGCAACTGTTGCTATGTTGGGCAGACTTTAGAAAACACTGCCAAAATCACTTTCAACCTGATGAGATGTTTTAGCACATTTTTGCAACATAATGTTTGGTTACCAGTTAAATGTGTCTACGTGAACTTCACGTTTCATTTCATCCGTTTGTTCTCTGAGCTCGCCTGAAGACAAAGCCGAAGAAAGTTTTGAAATCAGTCAAATTGTATGGCCACAATTTTTTTCTTATTTAACATTTCTGGTAAATTTGTCTTACTGTTACATGACCACTGAATACAAATTAAATTCTGAAAGAAACAATATGATAATTTCATATGATCAAAGAATTCAGATGACCTCAAATGGCCATCTCAGGAACAAATGTATCATCACTATACACAAAGCAGAACAAATTCTGTGGCACTTTTCCTTAGCATGCTAAATGTAGCATATGGACATAAATTCTAGGTTAAAACGCTTTGCTATGTTTTTGTACCTGATCGAAACCTAATCGAGGTTGGAAACAAGAACTTTACCACTATGCTAATGTGAGCTCAGTTACACCTGATTATTAATTATAATAGCATCAAATATCATGGTATCGTGCCACAAAAAATGCAATATATGATATTGAATTGTATTTTTATCAATCACTGTTCGCAGCACACAGTAAAAATTAATTGATAGAAAAAAGAAACTAATCTAACACATTTAGTGATTAGTTACGAGGCTCTTTTTCATACTGTAGCCTTCTGCCACATCAATATTGTCACAATATTAATTAACAGATACATATAATATAGCAACGGGTATATGTCGTGTAGCCGTACTCCACTCCCCAAGCCCCCCCCCGTGCCCATTTCTCTTGGTGTCGTCTTCATAATGTCTTGATCACGTCTTCTAATCCTCCCTCCTCTCCTTCACTCATCTCCCGCAGAGCACTGAGCACTATATATAAACACAGAGCAGCTCATGATGATGAATATGACCCCCTCCATCTCTCACTCAGTTACTTTCTATATTCATTTTCTCACTGTATCTCTCTCTCTCTCTCTGTCTCTGTCTCTCTCTCATTTTCTGTCCATATCCCTCTCTCACTGTCCTGCTCTTTTTCTGTATACACTTCTCTCTCTCTCTCTCTCTCTCTCTCTCTCTCTGTGTGTGTGTGTGTGGAGGCGGATGATGTTAGTCATCCTCTCAGGCCTGAGCTCCAGCCTGTTCCACCACCTGCTGAAGAGCGTGGAGCAGCAGATCCTATCGATCGTGACTGAGCCACACGACGTCCTCCAGAGGCCAGAGAGAGAGAGAAGGGAGAGAGACTCATTCCTTCACACATATATACACAAACAGCACCAGAGCATAACTGGCCCTCTGGAGGTTTTAACAGCTCTTTAATGGATTAGAAAGAGCAGCGTCTCAGAAAACTTTACCACATTTATTCAGCATTTTCAACAGACTTTTATTGATTTACATGACCAATACAAGTGACCATCTTCTCTAGATATGCTGAATACATATACACAACATCGCCGTCAGCACCAAACTCCAAAATAGTAAGTTTTAAGAAAAATGAAAACATGATTTCAACCTTGTTACATCCTCCTCAGTAACTACATGGACTGGCTTAGTTATTCTTAAGTTATAGAAGAATGTATTAAATGTGTATGTATATATATATATATATATATATATATATATATATATATATATATATATATATATGTATATGTATATATATGTATGTATATGTATGTACATACTCACACATTCAGTCATAAGAGCATTTGTGAAATCAGGCACTGATGTTGGAAGGCCTGGCTCGCAGTTGACGTTCCAATTCATCTCGAATTGTGTGCAGTGGGGTTGAGGTCAGGACTGTGTGAAGGCCAGTGTAGTCACTCGAGCTACAAACCTGTCAAACCACATCTTTATGGACCTCACTTTGTGCACAGGGGCTCAGTCATGCTGGAACGGGAAAGGGTCTTCCCCAAACTGTTGCCTAAAATGTCTTTGTATGTTGTAGCATTAACATCACCTTCCACTGGAACTAAGGCACCTGAAAAACAGCCCCAGCTCATTATGCCTCCTCCACCAAACTTTACTGTTGGCATTGTACATTCTGGCAGGTAATGTTCTCCTGGCAGCAGCCAAACCCAGATTTGTCCATCAGACTGACAGACAGAGAAGCGTGATTCATCACTCCAGGGAACACATTTCTGCTGCTCCAGAGTCCAGTGGCAGTGTGCTTAACACCACTCTAGTCGACGCTTGGCATTGTGCGTAGTGATCTTAGGCTTGTGTGCAGCCATGGAAACCCATTTCATGAAGCTCTCAGTGCACAGTTCTTTAGCTCATCGTGCTTCCAGAGGCAGTTTAGAATTTTGTAGTGAGTGATGCAACAGAAGATAGGCGGGGTTTTTTTACACGATATGCACTTCAGCATTTGGCGGCAGATGAGCAGATGTCTACAAACCTCTGGACATTACCAGGTGGAGGTTGAGGGAGAATGTGAACTGTGAATGTGTCTCCATGTATACAGCAGATCAACGTTTTCAGCATATATTTATACTAAAGAAGGGGAATTTTGAAGAGGAGGTCCTTTGTATTAGTCTTTAAAAGTCTGCTGAAGGTGCTGAATAAATGCTCTGACATGAGCAGTGAAGGGTCTTTTCTTTCACCCCCCTGTGAGTGACTGCTGCCCTCGTGTGGTGAACAGTGGAAATGTTTCTGTGTTGAGTGAAAGTGAATGAGCCTGAGGACAGAGGAAGCCTCTCCTCTCCAAACACAATAAATTCCAGTTAATTACACTCAGAGCCAGCAGCGTCTTCCCTCTCTCACACACACATACACTGCAGGGGACACTGCATCTCTGCCTCACACACACACACACACACACACACACACACACACACATCTACTCTCATATACATACAGACATTATTAAACATGTAAACTTAAAAAGGAGAAATAAAAATTGATATAGATTAGCACAGAACTCTCTCTCTCACTCTCTCTCTCTCTCTCTCTCTCTCTCTCTGTTCTCTCGCTGTTCTTTTTCTCTTTTTCTCTCTCTTCGTCTGTAACTCTTTAGTATTCCCCTCTTCTCTTTATATATACATGCCTCTCTCATCATTTCTTCTATCTCTCCCTCTCTGTTTTACCGTTCTTTCTCTCTCTCTTCTTTTTCACTTTCTCTTTCCTTCACTTTCACTCTCTCTCTCCTTCATCTTCTCTCTCTTTATCTTTTCTTCACTCTGTCTCTCTCCTCTTCTTTCTCTCCCCATCTCTTTCCTTCACTCTGTCGTACTTTCCCCTCTCTTTTTTCTGTCACTCTGTCTCTCCCTCCCTTTTTCTCTCTCTCTTTCCTTTACCCTCTCTATCTCTCTCTCTTTCTCTCTCTCTCACCCTTTCTCTCTCCGTATCTCTGTCCCTCACTCTGCCTGTCTTTCTCCTTCTCTCTTTCTCTCACTCTTTCATTTTTTCTTCCAATTGCTCCTTTTTTTCTTCTCTCTATCTCCCCCCCCCACTCTCCATCTTGCTCTCTCTCTCACTCCCTCTCCCCCATAGTCTCTCTCTCTCTGTCTCTGTCTCTCTCTCTCTCTCTATCTCTCTCTATCTCTCTCTCTCTCTCATAAACACTCTCAACACCTGCATAAGCACACAGAGAGCAGCAGTATTAATCTCCCCTCCTGGGTCTGTCCCGGTGATGGATGACCCACCTGAGAGCGTCCAGGGGAGCGTTACCGTGCCGGCTGTTCGCCGCTCGGCCGTTCACAGGCCCGGCTGACCAGAGGAGGAAGTAGGAGGGAAACTAAACAGTAAACGCTGCTTTGAGGTCATGTCAGTCAGCGCCACTTCGGCTTGCGCTGTCAGCTAATGGTTACGGTTATTCTGCTGCACGTCTGCTGTTCTGCGCTGTAGCAGTGTGTGTTTGTTACTCTCGCTCGTTTGAGGCGTGTGTGTGTGTGTGTGTGTGTGTGTGTGAGAGAGAGAGAGAGAGATGAGAGAGCAGTAGGATTGTCTGTTAGTGTCAGAGCAAGCAGAAAATGTTCATAGCTGAGGGAAAAATGCCTAGACAGAGCTACACTGATGTGATGCTGAGCCTGCAGGCAGAGAGAGAGAAGGCGTGGGTGGAGAGAGACATGATGAGGGCTACAAAGAGAGACGAGAGAAGCGAGCGAGCGAGCAGAATGTTTACAGATTTCTGTGCAGATCAGGAATAATTAATAATTAAGGCCTGCTAACTCTGGGGATGCCTCAATTTTATTATGCTCTCTTACCATTAGAGCCATTAGAGTCCTTTGTTTAGACAGGGTGACAGTCAGAATGAAGGAAGCATCCAGCGTTCAATAACGGCTCTCCGTCTCCAAATATAACCCCCGAATTAGTGGACAAAGGCTCAGGAACAGCACAGAATCTTCACAGCCACTGCTCCTCAGTTTGTCCCAGAGTGACAGCCAGCCATGAGTGGTCGACAGCTCTTAACCTTTAATTGCAGTGCGTGGGTGGCTAGAGACCCGCAACCTCATTTCCCCCCTCTGCCTCATCCATTTGCTCAGGTTTTGTTTTATATTATTTTCTTTTGATATTTTGGACATATAGTGAATTTAATAACCCTGCTTAAATTTCCTGTAATCATAACAAGAGATATAGTTAAGCGGGGCTCAAACTGAGAGGCGGCAGGGGCGTCCCAAACCTTCCATGAGAATAAAGGGACGTTAAGCGCATCTTAAACTAAGGTGAGCCAGCAGGTTCAAATCCCTGGGCTGACTGGGTGTAGCTGGTTCTGACAGACTTTTATTAATTTGATAAAGACAATAAAATCAGTTTTACACGGTCATGGCTGTTTGTAGATCAGGTGACACTTTATTTTGAGTGGTCCTCAATGTGGTTTTTTTAAATGGTTAGAATTAGGTTTTGGGTTGAGGTTAAGGTTAGGGTTAGGATTAGGGCCAGGGTTAGGATTAGGACTAGCTTCTGGGTTGAGTTTAAGGTTAGGGTTAGGATTAGAGCCAGGGTGAGGGTTAGGATTAGGTCTTGAGTTGAGGTTAAGGTTAGGGTTAGGATTAGGGCCAGGATTAGGATTAGGTTCTGGATTGAGGTTAAAGTTAGGGTTAGGATTAGTGCCAGGGTTAGGATTAGGATTAGGTTCTGGATTGAGGTTAAGGTTAGGGTTAGGATTAGGGCCAGGGTTAGGATTAGGGCCAGGATTAGGATTAGGTTCTGGATTGAGGTTAAGGGTAGGGTTAGGATTAGGGCCAGGGTGAGGGTTAGGTTTTGGGTTGAGGTTAAGGTTAGGGTTAGGTTGTGGGTAAGGTTGGGTTAGGATTAGGTTTTGGGTTGAGGTTAAGGTTAGTGTTAGGATCAAGGCCAAGGTTAGGATTAGGTTTTGGGTGAGGTTGGGTAAGGTTAGGTTTTGAGTTGTAGAAGTAACATATTAACAACACATCTACTTAATGTATCAACAGTACATTTACAAGATATTTACCTCAGTGTATTCAGATGCTTCACTACTGCTACTTCACTGATATGTCGCTGGTGTGTTATTGATACTCTATTAAGAGTTTATTAATAATCTACAAAGAACCACTCCAAATAAAGTGTTACCGTCGATCAATATAAGTGCCAAACTGCAAAACACTCATGCTTTTGACCTTCACGTCAGAGATGTAGTCTATAAACAGGTACACAGAATACTAAGGATAGCTTTTTCAGTCAAATTTGAAATTCAAATTTCAAGTGAAAAGTATTCAAATGGACTTAGACTGAGTCTTTTGTTTGCTCTGTACCTCATTTACGTTTATTTTGAAACAAATTTGACATGCTGCACACTGGAAAACACAAAAAGTCTTATGAAGGGGCTAACACTGATGACGTTTGGTGACCACATACCCAGCATTGCTCGATGTCTCTGAGCACCACTCAACATCTGTCTGTTATTGCATTGAATTAAATCCATTACAATGAGAATTATCTCACCTAACTAAGTCACATTGTAACTTACTTCACCTTGAACCTTTTAGCTGGAAAGCAAAGTTTTTTAAGTTAGTTACCTGATACACCCCTCACCCCTACCACTTAGGCCTTGTTTCAATGTATTATTGTTCTTTTCTTTATAACAAGCATAAAAATATCACTAATAGTATGCTAATGTCTCTGTATCTAGCTAGCTAAATTTCCCGTTCCACTTTGAATGGTGCAGCAGTTACATTCTGGCACCTCAGGCATCAGAACTGCTGCTCCATTTAAGGTGGAACGGGAAAATTTGAACAAGAAGCTGGCGAATAGCTGACTTCAGCTTCATATCACTGAAGAATTAGGGGGTGGGTGATAATAAATAATTGTCGCCCCCTCTTTGGAGGCATATGATGCCCTAAATGTAACTAAAGCCCAGCAGTGAGGAGCTGAACTCCTCCGCTATCACTGCAGACTGGCAGGGTCCCCTACAGAGCAGCGCTAGTAGCTGTTAATGAAGTAATGTTCTTTTTATTTCAGGGTCCCGTTTCGTAGGTAAGATTTCAACCACTACCCCTTGTAACCCCTTGGGTCAAGGTGACACCCGAAAACAAGGGGTAGGGGTAAAAATAAGAAATGGGATTGGGCCCAAATGTGATAACATCATTGTTATGTTTAAAATTTTATTCAATTAAATCTGTGTGAGTAGAGTGTAAAAGGAGCGTGGCATTAATTGGATAGAGCAGACTGCATGTGGTCTTCCTTTATCTATGATGTAGATTTTTGTTGCCTCAATATTACACTAAAAGCGATGCTGAATATTTTGAAGTATTATTTTGCTTTCCTTTAGCAGTTTGTACACTCGCCTTAATGGTAGCATCTTTTCCTGCATCTGTGTTTGGTGTGTGGTCAGCTAATCACAGTATACCCACTGCTGCAGACTAGATTACACCCCTGGTCACCATGCCTGGTGTCTGCCGACCCTGTGTCCTCTGTTGTCCTCCACTCCCCTCTTCCCTCTAACTGTTGTTGTGTATGTGGCGCCCCCTTCAGGTGGGGAGCAGGACCGGGAGCGGCAGGGCCACGCAGACTCGCTGGGTGACCTGTACCGGGCGCTGGAGCGTGCCAGCCTGTCTCCGCTGGGTGAGCGGCGCCTCTCCACCCGTCTAGAATACAAGCACTCCTTTGTGCGTCGTTGCAACGACCCGCTGCTCAATGACAAAGTGCATCGCCTGCGCATCCTGCAGAGCACGCTCAAGGTACTTGGACAGCTGCTGCCGCACGGCAGACTGTGTGTGTGTCTGTGCGCGTCTCCGTCTGTCCTGTCTGTCTCTTGGTCCGTCTGTCTGCCCGTCCGGGCATCTGCGGGGCTCGGAAGACAGCCACGTTGGTCAGGGGACCAAATTGCGGAAGGAAAGCACCACCTAAGGGTACCTCAACTACAGAGTGAGGTCCTTTAAACAGTGGTTTGGCCTAAAATCAAAATTCTCCCCACCCCAAAAGTAACCAAAGCATGTTTAGTATCTCTCTTCATGACTCCACATCAGAATCCCAAACAGGGAAGACAGGGTTCTAGTACCATTTGGCCAACACAGAATGTACGAAGGAGGGAAAGACTAGATGGGCAAATTCCCTCCTGACACAGACAAGTAGATGAAGATTTCCAACAGTCATTCCTCATCATCCAGGAGACCCCATGCTCTGCACATTTTGTGTTTTGCCTCATCCAGCACCCATGATTTAACTCATGAATTAGTTCACAAGCCTCTTGTATGTGGGTTAGACATGTTAGTGTAGGGAAAACACAAAAATCGGGGGTCCCAAGGACTGACACTGGTTTATAATGAGCAACTATAGATGTACTTACTTAGGAAACTAAGAATCATGAATATTTTGCTCAGCTTCCTCAAAGGGTAGGCTTGAACAAGAAGGAACAGTAAAAGTAAAGGTGGAAAACAGGCTACTCTGTAGCACATAGCCTCACAGGGCCAGACGTAAACAGGTCTGGGGACAACTTGTTAAGCTTTTGGTACTGGATTGCTACTAACAAGGGCACTCCCCCTCTAAAACTCACCCCCAGATTCCTCTGGTCTTTGCTCTTTTAACGTCCAGACTCGATAAAACATGCTAGCAAATGCTATTATTAGCTAATGTTCATCCTTTAACATATTTCGATTTAACCACCAGTATTTGAAACCACTTCAAATACTTCGTTTGAAGACAGTAACTCAGGTATCAGATATCTTCTAAAGCTAAAGTAGAGTAATTTAAACTGAATTGTTTTTCCTTTGTACCTTTTTTGAGGGTTTTTTCAGCCATAATAACCTACTTTACATCCATGAGCTAACGAAATATCAGATAGTGTTGATGGGCCCTTCTTCTCTGAGCTCCACCTTCATGAGGCATTGAGTTGGTTTCAAAAATTTCACACTCAGTTTGCTCCCACCCTAGTAAGTCTACGTTCCCCCCCTACATGTAGCCCCGAAAGTACTCATAATTGTCCCCAGACGTTCTCGTTCTGAGATCACTTCTGGCCCCGCAAGACTAGGTCCTGTGCTGCTGTCTTAGAGCCTCATCTGTGTTCCACTGTCTACTAACACGTGCCTGGCTTCTGGGGAGTGTGTTGCAGGCTCTGCGGTTGAGGCTAAAGCTTCTCTGTCTGGGCTGTTGTGGCTCCGGCTCTGGCTCTTGTACCACCTGGCCCGGTCCCGTCGGCCTGCGATTGGGCTCAGGTTGTGTCCGCTGCTGCTGTTTTGTGCTTGTTTTCGGGCAGACTCCTGTTGCATTGTGGGTGTTATAGGCGTCCCCCCGCAAGAGAGGACAAGAGGTTGTTTTGTAGGGGCACTGAGGCCCACAGTGCCAGAGGACTCTGGTCAAAGCCTAGCATGGTGTGTTTTTGTGTGTGTGTCTGTGCCCCGCACGCTCTGCCGCTCTGCTCACCGCCTCGCTTTTTTCCATGTGAGCTAACAGCCTGTGGCGTGCTCGTGACCTCCTGACCTTTATGTGCTCGAGAGTGCATCTGTAACGTCCACCCTGCACTGCTGTCTTTCTACGCTCCAATAGGACAGGGAAGGGGAGATAGCAGTGATTGACAAGCTGCTGGCCAAGCCCAAGCTCACGTCCTCCGAGTTCCAGGAGTGGAAGAGAACGTACCTGGAGCTTTTCTCGGCGGACGCCAAGCAGGAGCGGCAGTCCAGCCCCGTCTCGGAGCCCAGCCCAGGATCCACACCGGAACCGACCCCGCGTGCCCCCTCGCTCTCACACACCCACTCCTACATCGAGACTCACGTGTGATTGGCTTAGTGGGCTGCCTCGGGACCTTTTAAAAACAACCACATTCTATGTAGTAGGATGCTACGCGTACCTTTGATCAGCCTGTGCTATAGGAAAAAGCACCCTTAGTACCTGTTTCTTGCGCAATTAATTGTGTATTCACTTGATTCTGACAGAGTTCACTGTTGATTGTGTTGCTCAAATGTTGGCCTGCATTCAGGCGCATAAATGAATCAGGTCTGGCCTCAAACTGCTGGACACTGGCACAGCTAGTAGCCCACTAGTTACCATGGCTACCAGCCCACCATTCCCTAAGGGGTTTAGACAAGACTGAGAAACAGAGCCTAGAGCCACAGCAGGACAGATCCACGGCCTTATCCAAGAGCAGGAACAACTGATGGAATACAGGGACCTTTGGAAGAAAACCCTCGGACTGTGGACTTTGATTTGAAAGACATAAAAGCAGCATTTAAAGGAGCTACATGTAAGATTAAACCAATAGTGGTGCTTGGCCCCTTTTTGCCTGCCACTGCTTATTATACAAGCCAAATGTGAGCAAAATAATCGTCTTTCTTATTTGATCTGTAATGGGGACTTTTGAAGAGCCGATTTAGAAAGGTCCCGTGGCTCGGTGCCAAATGTTGCTTAATCTTTTATTGAATTAAACATAAAGATCTTACCTGTAGCTCTTGCTAAGTGCCAGCGGATGTGGATTTTTCTCTCGCTACACAATGCTGCTCCACCAGCTTCTTCTTTCCTTTTAAGGGAGATCTCCTTGCGGGCATAGACACACACACTCACTTTCGATCCATAATATTATCTGTTTTATAGTGTACATATACATACATATATATATATATATATATATATATATATATATATATATATATATATATATATATTATATATATATATATATATATGCAGTGCTATGCAAATGTCAGTGACCTTTATTGATTTAATTTCCATTTAAAACAGCCATGAAGTACAAGTTATTCATTTTTCAGGAAGTATTTCTGAGGAGATTAGATGTAATATTTTTGCATACGGAAGGGGAAAGTCAATAAGTAAAAAAAAACAAAAAAACAAGAGTTTCCAAAACTGGAGTTCAAACAATTATTAAAAGATACAAAAATGACTTCTAACAACCACCTGGAAGACCTGGTAGACCAACAAAGCCATCCCCATCAGATAAACAGCACTGAAAGCTTTCATCTTTGAGAGAGAGGAGAAAATCAAGCTGCTTCAGATCTAAAAAACATCCATAGGTGTTTCTGTCCATCCTTCACTGTGAGAAGACAACTCAGCGCTATGGGTCTAAAAGGATGTGTATATGTTGAGAAGCCCTTTATTACATTAACGTTTATAAATACTCATTTACGTTCACTATTTATTATTACATTTGTTAAATTAATATCATATTTAGTTGTTGAGGCTTCTGTGCAACATTTTTTGGTATTTATATTTTCAGTCCTGATGCTGAAAAATTAGCAACTTGTACTTGAAGGCCGTTTTGACGGAGAGGGCAATACATAGAGAGTGGTCTCTGACTTTTGCACAGTACTACATCTATATATATATATATATATATATATATATATATATATATATATATATATATATATATATATATATATGTCTCTATATATATACAATACCTGCTCTTGCACTAGTGGGCTGGTCCCTGGCAAACAACAGCTGCACATTAGCGTGAGTGTGTGGGATCCATATGTGTTTATCTCATTTCATCAGACTGTGCAGAATGATCAGGCGCTGAAAATAAGTATTTAAAGTCGGCCTGTGCTGCAGAAATCTTTGCGCACCTACCTGTAGGCTTTGCCGGGCGAAGCCTATGATTACAGCTGCCCGCTCACCGAGGAGTGCGTAGGCTTTGACAGACACACGCATTCAGCACAAGTGATTGTATAAGAGAGCCACTGCCTCTGTGATTCTGCTGGCATGTTTCAAGAGCCTGTTTTTCTACAGCTTGAGGTGAAGCATGACCCTTTGCAAATGAATTGCTGGTTGTAAGCAAAACAGCCACACCCTGAACATCATGTACTGATTCTTTTACTAAAATTTGGGGTGACATGAAACATGAGTGTCCAATGGTGCTTTTCAGCACCAGTTCCTGAAACCCTACTGTGCACAAAGTGTGCTTGGTAATGTGTGCTTTTTTTTAAATTGCTTTCAGGGATGTAGTGGAGGGTAAATGCACTTTAAACACTTTTTACGCACTTTTTATATGTGAAATGCCATTGACCTCACCTTTATCTCACCTTTATCTCACCTTTTTTAATCGTTCACCCACCTTTTTAGAGTTTACTCTCTTAATTTTGGATTTTACTCATGATTTTATTTTTAGAAAATCTCAGCAGGACATGGCAGACGTTGTGCTGTGATGAGTCGTCATGGCAGATTAGTCAATAGTGTAGTGACATATATGCTAATGGTTGATGTCATGGCTTTAAATTAGCATTTGACAGTCATGACATCAAACATGACAATGAATGTCATTATATTTACATTATATTACTGGGCATAGTCTGTCATGACGTCTCATGACAGCATATAACATCTGCTATGACATGTTTATAGCATGGTTATGTCGACGTTCTGTAGCAGGGTTCAAATAAAGTGTTACCCGTTGTTCTTGTGAACATTCAATGTGCAATATACAGAATGGCCTAAATACTAAATCCAAACTAATAATAAAAGAAAGTTTAGATTTTTTTATGATGAAGACTGAAAGATGCATTTCAAAAATTAAATACTCCACAATCTGACATTCTAATAACGTGAAAGCAGTTCATTGAAAGTGAAATACTATTTGAGTGCTAGTTGAGTTGGCGTGGTGGAGCATGGTTCCACAGCAGTTATGTGACTGGGCCCCCACTGGAGTTTACCCACCACTACATCCCTGATTGCAACCCTTAGTGATGCACCGAAATTCTTGGCTGAAACCGAAACCGAAATTCAGGACACACTTGGCTGAAAACCAAAACCGGAAACTGACAAAAGTAAAAAATGAAATAAATAACAATATGAAATATAAAATAACCTCCATTTATTACAGTATGTGGGCTGCAGTGTGTGCTGTAGAATCTGAATGTAACTGCTGCACCACTTAAGGTGGAACAGAAAATTCAAATAGGAACCCAAAACCAGCCTCACTAATTTTTTGTTATACTTAGTATTTTGGCCGTTTGTGAATTTTTTTAGAACATTTCATAAACTAAAGCTAGGCATGCTAGGGGTGTTTTCCTTTCAGCTTATTTTGTTTGCTGTATTCTGAATATCGAGATAGCGAGATGTCATGCTTTCAAGTGGTATCAAACCTGAAATGGAGATGTTCTTGGGCGTCGTATCCTCTCTTGACATTTGGCATGAACAGAGACTATAAATCACTTGTCTAATGTCCCTCATAGAAACCGTGAAATAGTTCCATGCTGTTGCATTAGTCCACTGCGGCTCAAACTGTTCGAACATGTCCGTACTGACTGGCTTAGAAGAGCGAAGGAAGTTTAAATCACTATTTCCGAGTTTCATTATGATTAAAATATTTGTGAAGTCTTAGATTTTGAAACTGTTGGAGGCCAATTGAATCTTTATATTCATTCAAAAGTTTCGTCCATTTTTCTCTTTCAGACGAAAACCAGAAATACCAATTTTGACCATTTTCAGCCGAAAATTTTCATTGGCTGGAATTTTGGTGCATCACTAATTTTTAGCAGAAAGGAGTTTTTGTACTGTTGTATTCCACTATTTGTAACCAAGTGGAACACAGCATTTTGTGCTTTGGGCTTTGTTTACTGACGCCTAGCTCTTCAGACAGCTTTCATTTCCTCCTCTGTGCAATACTGTAGTGCAGCGTGTTGCTCAGGCTGAGACCAGCGAGTGTTTGCGACTGGCGAAGGCTCTCGTACGCACACCTCCAGTCTCAGGCACAGCGCATGCTCAGACCGACAAGGCTGTTTCCTTGGTTACTGAACTCTCCTTGACAGCTGTCTGCAGCTCTTGATATTAATTGTATGTCAGCACTTACTGATATCGAGCATCTGTATATATTTATATATATATATTTATATATATATACTTATGTGTGCAATTGCAGTGCACAAACTCTTCTCTGTACTGCATGGCTCAGATACAGTATAACACAGTTTACACACAGTGTTCTTTTGCTTTTGTTCTTTTTCCTTTGAATCAGTGCTGGCAGATGAATGATGATCAGTGTTTCATTTCACTTTGAGCTGAACTGTACGTCAGAGTGGCTGTGCACAACAACCAAAAGCAATCAAGCTCTCAGAGGAATCCCAGAGGACTTAATTTGTGCGATTTTTAGAATATTCCGAATGTTCCGACTAGAGTTTAATGTAAGATAAGATTAGCTAAGTTAATGTGTATTATAATGTACATCAGTTCTATGAGAGATTGAGTCCTCTCAGAACACATACTGTAGTAGAACAGAATTTCCTTCTATATTGAACTGTATGATTTACTTGATCATGTGATTATATAGGAAATATCACTATGTAGATCACTTTAGACTTGGTTAGCCTACAAAAGCTACATGTTTACCAATGGGTATGGAGTTACTGGATTGGTTCTCTTGCTATACGTTACTGTAGAAATGTTTCCTTTTTTTTCTTCTAGGAGCTGCGCCTACACGCCCACCCCCTTTTTTTTCCTCTTCTGTGAATTTATACTGGCAGTCAAAAAGAATTGCTCACATGCAACTGTTTTTGTTTATCCTGTCTGTTCACTGAAAGGAGGAAAACCACAACAAATGACCAGTGAGGAACCCTCAAGGCCTTCAGGCCTTCAGAATACATGTCTGTAATGTTTATTTCATGTTTTATTTAATATAATCATCATACTTGGTGTATTTAAACTTGTGTATTGTGGTAATTATTTTTAAGTTTTGGTCAGAAACAAAAGGGTTACATTTTTAAAATACCCAAAGAAAATTTATCCAATCCAGGATTTATCTTCTCTGAGGTATCTCGGTACTTACAGCCATGGATGCTCTCCCATTCAGGAGCTGAGCTGAAGGCCTTATACACTAATTTAACTACTAATATGATTAAGAACTGACAGTGGATTCAATTCCAATCACATTTTGATTTACAGTTTACAAGGGGTGGGTCCAGTTTTATGAGAAAAACATCACTCTAGGTCTTCTGGAAGTCCTAGATACATCACTGACTGTGAGTACAAGTGGTTAAAAGGTTAAAAAGGGTAAATAGCAGTAGCTTTATCCTAGGGCTCTGAAGGAATCACTTTAAAACTGCTACGTACAAGGTTATAAATAAATACAGGTTAATATGTTTGTTACAAGCTTCAAATAAAACGGACTGTCTTTTACATGCTTCTAATGTCCATGGTTAATCTAGAATGGCATAAAAGCATACATGGGACTAACATTAACACAGTTCAAACATACTACTAGAATCCTCTAGGGGTGCTAGCAGAAATTAGCATTATTATAGAAACTTATTTTATCCTTGTTTTTGGCCAGGTTTTGATATTTCTGGCCCAAACTAGCTCTAATTGTCCTGGTTCAGCACTGAAAATGAAGGATATTCCAATAAGACGATGCACGATGCCACATAGTTTGTTAAGTAAAAGCCAAGCACGTTTTAAAAACCCATTGATAAAAAACCTTTGTTGGGCTATGTTGGGAAATATGTGAAGAAAAAACATCCAACCAGTATGGATGGTCTGTGGACAGCAGTCTTTAAGACTAGAGGAGCTACAACATGCCATTAAACACTACAAACTGTACTATTTCACCTTCTTTTTTGGTGGGTTAGTGACCTTTACAAAGTGACCAAAACAACTTTTTGAACACTCTTTTTGACAGTACGTGTTTATCAGCATTTTGTAGGTTCTCTAGTCTTAAAGACAGCCTCACACTGCTTTCTAAAGCTTTTAAAATGATTAAAAGGAGCTGCTTCTGACACATTTCTACAGTGACTGGGCTTTTCTTCTCTGCACACTTCCCAACGTATCTCCACAAGATCTCAAAAGGTTTTAAATCGTGCCTTAAAGGGGCACTTAAAGAGGGCACTCTGACCAAAATGAAAAATGTGGCTATCGCTATCTGTTGCATGCATGCCTACACACATCCCCTAGTAGTGCCACAGTAGTCCCTAGAATGATATTTTCAATTTTTAGGACAAGAACATCCCCTTCTGATGAAATATGTTGAAGGTGAGAGAAACTTTTGAAGAACTACAATTGCCTTAGGCTGCATTTTGATTTTGTTTTTTTTGGTAAATGCTGCTAGGAAGCCAAATATCTTATTGCTGTCGTACAACATCAGACACCATCACATGAGAAGGAAAACAAGCTGAGGCTAAAGTTAGCAAAGTAGCTGGCTACCTAAATATCTTACCTCAGTTTGGCTTCTCTTCTATGGCCGAAAGGGTAAAATTAATTGTCTCTGGCTGAAGGGGTAAATAACATGTCTCTGGTATCCATTTTGTGCTGAATAAAGATAGAAGATATTGTTTGACAAATGAAGTATGTGTTATATTTATGTTAGCTTGCTTGTGTATATTATTGGCTAGGCTAGTAGCCAAGATTTGTTGACACCATAGAGATTCCCAGTGGTTATATGATGCATTTGCACAATGCATGCTGGGTGTTGTAGTGAGAGAACACCAATGAAGGAAATTGTCGTTTCTTGTGGTTTTCCTCTTTTAAAAGAATGAACAGGACAATTGCTACAAAAACAGGTGCTAAAGCTCATAACCTCATTGGATGACGTGCATTTGGGCAAATCTTTTTGACTGCCAGTATACAAATATTGAAATGATGTTCCTCTGTTCACCAGAGTGAAGAAACAAAGTGTAAACATCTAGCAAATAAGTCCTAAAGATGCCTTTACAGTGTTGATCTACATAACTGTAACCAATCTAGTAAATCCATGGTACTGTCTGTCCTTTGTTCTTCTTAGGCATGTGATTTGGGCAGTGCCGTTAGTATGTGTTGTGTTTAGCTAACTACCTGACGAAGTTTACTTTTGTTTGATTTATTTCATTATTTATTTAGCTAGTCGTTGCTTTCTGCAGTTTGAAGACAGATGTGGTTAAAGTCAATAAAACTTTGCTCATGAAACTGTTGTCATGCTATGCGTAATAGATCCCACTTCTTTGTTCTTTGTCTGAGATAAGTCACATGCTTTCACTAAGATAACTCGCAGAGGCCCATGTCAACTTTCTAGCTTAGCCTCTCTTTCCTATATGGGGAGTTCCAGACTCCACAGCAGCACTAACAGGCTCAGCTAAAGCATTAGCTGATGAAAGAACTCACGGCGCGGCCTGCGCACCGGCTCAGGGGATGAAGCTGCGTTTGCGTCCTCCTCCGAGTTCAACAGCCAGAGCTAATGGGCCTCTAGCTCCATTCATCCCTCTACCTCTTCACTTCTCCCCAAGCTAGCATGAAGATTGCTTTTGCTTTCCTTGTGTTATGCTCTCCCTCTCCCTCACTCCATATCTCTGTCACTCACAGGCCACCTGGTGCTAATACGCTGTAATCGAACAGGCCCAGATCTCTCCTGTGCGTTAATTACCACACCCTTGTGCTCCTTCCCTTCTCTATTTTAATGTCACTCATTAATCATTTCATTTATTTTAAGCTCATTACAACAAATCGAAAATGAATTGCTCCAAATGACTTCTTCAGGGGGGCCGTGCAAGCTCTCGCACTCCAGACATTCATTCAGGCCTTCCCCTAGTGTACCACTGAATTGCTCTGATTAGTTTGGAGGATTTTATCCAAAACATTTAGAATGCAAAGCTTGAAGGAGTTTGCTCTAGGCAGATGCACTTTATTATATAACTAAAACGATCATGACACATACAGCCATTTTAATGCATTTCATTCCATACCTAAGTGTCTCCACTACTTCTGCTCAGTTTTACACTGAATTTGTTCGTAAGCTAGTCACACAGTCATTGGAAAGCATTCTAGCGCATTTCTTGTTCCACTGCAGTCACTGAATTTTGAGCAAATGAGTAACCTGTGTTTCTGCAAACTTACTGAGTGCGGTTGACCACTAAAGCTACATTTTTGTTTTCTCCTCCTAGCTTCATCCCACACACACTCAGAGACCTTTATCCTCTCATGGAATTAAAGTGCTTTTACATACCTTACATCCTTGATACTGTTTTTAATCTCAACCTTCAGCTCCTATGTATGTATTCTAATCTGTGCTTTTCAACTGCTGTCCTTTCCTCTACCTAAGCTCTCTGTCTCTGACCTCCACTTGCCACTGCATTTCTGTCATAAAACTTAATATCTCTCACCCTTACTCTGTATCCCATGCCAAATATGTCCAAAGATATGTGCATTCCCGTGCTTTACACCTCACTTAATTTCCTCATTTTACATTTTACCTACACTTTGCTCATCTCTGTACCTGTTCAGCCTGCACATGCAATCAAAAAAGTATGTCCTTAGCTCTGTCCCATGCTCTGTGCACTTTTGCAGGACTTGGAGGACTTTTTTGTATGGTTGTTATGACCAGTCTCCCATCACTCTTATGATTTGCTGAGTCCTAGTCACCGTGCCATGCCTCCAGTGCCAAGATTCCTCTGATTCACTCCAGTCTGTGGAGCAAATCCAATTCCAGGAGGTCAGAACCAATTGTACCTTCACCAACTGATGACATTTCACTTCTGCTAAGGTTCACCAGGTCTGGATACGACAGTTGTCTCTTCCCCCCTTCCACTGGTACCATTTAATCCTATAACATCCCAGCCTCAGAGTGCACCGACTGAATTATCCTCCTTTTCTGTCTCTTGTGGCAGAGAGTCAGGCAGTGGAAACTCTCACATTCTCTGTGTGTATGGAATGGAGTTGGAGTTCCTATGTCTCTATAGGTTCTGAGATGGCCATTACAGCACACTGTGTCCCACATAATGGGCCTGGAAGTTTACACACTTGTTTCCAGCTGTCATATTCAGGGTCATACTCCAGCACATCAGGAGTGCACACTTCCTGTCCGTCCTGCCACTTTCGACCTCCAAACATCAACACACGTCCACCCCCAGTCACTGTCAAGCCGTAGCAGAAGCGGTCATGAAGAAGAGGCTTCAGTCGAGTCCACTGGTCGTGTTCAGGGTCATAGCGTTCAATATCGCAAAACGGTTCGTACATCCCCAGGAAGGCATAGATCTGCTCCTTAATTGTTGCCATTTGGTGGCCAAATCTGGCTATAGACATAGCAGATCGCCTTTCCCAGGCAGCATAGTCAAGGGAGTTAAGGAATAACACTTCCTTGCTACTCTCAGGCTGGCTGCCATGGATGCCACCAGAAATGTAGATCCCTCTGCCAATAGTGGCACAAGCTTGCCCATGTATAGGATGCGGCAAAGACACTCCACTACGCCAGCATCCTGCCCTCATGTCGTATCTCTCCACTGAGGACAGAGCAGGCTCTCCTCTTTGACCTCGTCCTCCTATGACATAAATAATTCCCCCGACCACACAGCAGGAGAACTGTGCCCTCTTTTGCAGCAGTGGCTCCATCTCCTCCCAGCGTTCAAACCGAGGGTCATATCGCCACACCTGATCAGAGACCGTCATCACTGCTGTCTTCTCATTCTCCGCATCCACTTCAACCACCTCCCCTCCTAGCACAAACAGGAAGTTTCCCACCACACAAACACCCTGATACTGGAGCTTCTTTGGCATGGTAATGGACAGTGGACGGAACTTCCTGCTGCGTTCATCGTAACTCTGGATCTGCATCTGGGGCCGATTTGCTTCTGCTCCTCCTCCTACCAGCAATATTCTGTTAGTTGTGGTTCTTACATTTGTGTGGACATTCTGCAGTATTGGCTGAAGGGGACCCTGCATGTGGTAATGCAAGGCTTTCTGCACCAGGCTGTGAATGAAGGGAGTGCGTAATGCTGGATTTAGGGCGCTCAAACAGATCAGCTCTTCAGGAGGCACCAGGCTGAATCGGACACGGCTGAGTAGGGAGTTACTTTCCAGGGCAGATAAAGGGTTGCAGCTCAGCCAATCTAGAGCAAACTGAAGCAACGTTGTCTCCTTCACCCCTGGCATCTCCTCCAATCCCATGACCTCTTGCAAAGATTCAAGATTTAGCTCCAGCAGCCCAGTCCTGTCCCCATAAGCACCAAGCAGCTTGCCCATATTTCTTGCAATGAAACGGTTGGTGGCAACAAGTGCTTCAGAGAGGCCATAACGGGCTGCCACATTGGCAAAAAAGCAGCAGTTGTCCAGAGTTAGGCTGTCTGAGATGTACTCGGTGCAGAGATCCACAGCATGTGTAACCTGCAGGTAGCAGGAAGCTTCCAGGGTGTCCTCCAAGGTGGATGGGGACAGTGAGATCCATGAGGTGTAGATGAAATCCAGCACCTGCTCCAGGCCAGCAGAGGACAGGGCTGATAAACTGATGGTGTGGGCCCCAGACTCCAGAGTGTGCTCCTGGAACATCGACCAGAAGTAGTCGCTGGAGCAGGCTAACAAGGTGCGGTGAGCAGGAAACTGCTTGCCCTCAGCCTCCAAAATAATGTCGCACATCCGCGTTTCCAGCCGCAAGCTCTGGAACCGAGACAGCATTCCATTGCCGTGAGACTTGCTGAGCATCAGAAAGTAACTCATTACTCAGATAGAAGGGAAGAGGGAGAGAAAGTTTCAGAAGATCAATAGAAAAAGGTGCATAGATCAGAGAGAAAAGAGGAAAGAGAAGGATTAGAGAGAGCTTAGAAGGAAAGAGAGGGAGAGAAGAAGGAAGGAAAGCGAGAAAAAGTATAGGACCCCCCTGTTCTTGCAGACTGGTACAGAATGAGCGGGAGAAGGTCACTCTTCAGGAAGGCAGCTGCTGGGATGTGTGGCCGAATGACATGCCAGTGGGAGGGCTAACCATCTCTTTTGCAGCTAGTGGACAGCCCACAAACCCTTCAGCATTACAACCCTGGCAGGGACAGGGCAATCATCCCGTGATCCACCCCTCTGTTTTCCTGGGATAAGCATGTCTGTACTCCCAGTACAGAGGGAGGGGGAACGGACAGACATTTTTGGGCCACGGGGAGGGAAAGCATCCAACTCCCCCTCTGCATCGGCACCCTCAAAACGGTGCCCTTTTTCTCCAGCCTGGTTGGGGGTATCAAGGCTGGAGGGATGAGGGTATTAGTTTGCTGTGATTGCCTGATGTGAACTCAGCCCTCAGTAAATAAATGGGTTAGTCATCACCAGATTCCTGTCTGCCACCACCAGCGCCCATCTCTCTGTCCACACCACCACGCCGACAGGAATAGAAACACGGGGCATATTGAAAGAGGACTTGGCCAGAGAGGGAGGCACAGCGGAAGGGGTGAGATAGGGAGAGTGCAAGTAGCGATAAAGTGCGGATGGGAGAAGAATAGCAGAGTTTGGTGCTCAAACAACCATATGTAAGAAATGGACGGTCAATAATTTATTTAAATGAGTAAACAAAAGTGGGTGTGGTTTATTAAGGGGTAACATTCAGCAGGCCATGTTAAGCAGTCTGTTTATGCTGTACAGATTTCTGTTGATGTGATTTACATTCTATGTGTGTGTATGTATATTTCTGTCCCAGCAAGAATTGCGCGCCAACCTCATGAATTTATCTCATCATCATCCCTGAATAGCGCCTGGCAAAGACAGGACAGGGAAGGGACATGATGGGGGAGTCAGAGCTGATTATGAGAGGGCTGCTAGTGACATTCTCCAACTGCTCCCCCTCACACCCAGCAGCGTAGCCTGTGATCCCCTGGTTCAGACAACTGGGGAGTAACTCCAAACTCTGCCCCAGACCAAAGGATTCAAAATACAACACCTTCACTCGCTAATTGGTAACTGGAGTGTTGTAGACTTCACAACAGTGAAAACAACAGTGAGAAACACAAGCAATAACAAAATGCTTCGAAGGACTGTGCGTGTATGTGTGTGTGTATTGCACTGTTTTTATCTCAGGGAGCTCACTGGAAGGTTGCCAGCATACTATTAGTGCTGCTAAGTCCTGGGCTTATGTTGCAGGAACCTTAAATTATGGTTCAAGTTGTGAATCAGTGCACCATTGGCATTCCATAGGCTGTAACATCTCTTGGCCCTTTTTTACGGGGCCAAGCACCTTGCTCCATGCCTCATTCTCAAGGGTTTATGTAACCGATCTGAGGATATGCCTACTGAGGAAATTCAGGGTTTAAGCCTATGGTTAAGAGGTCTATGTGAATCGGAAATCATGCATTGTCCTTCCGAACCATGACATGTTCTCCAAGTGAAACACAGTACCTGGAAGGGTCTCTGAGGTGGCATAGTTGAGAATCGCGCTGGATGGTGGACGGTGATGTAATCAAAACTCAAGATGTTTCTCAAGTTGGGCAACAGTCATTACATTTTGATCAAAGATTACACAAAGATTTCAGGTTCATTTAAAAAATGACTATTGTTGAAAAAATTTCAGAGCTTTCTTGAAATTATTTTTCAATAAATTATTACATTTGGATCGCATACAAAGCAGTAGGCGACAGATTTTGAGTTAAAATCCATGCGCCATGAATATAAATGTCATACTTTTTCGTATATCCTGACCACACACACAAGAACAGTGTGCATGCGAATTCAGATCACTAAGACTTACTACTGATATGTTCCATCAGTAACGATAGAGGCTGCCTGAAGTCTTATTCATGTTTGCTTGCTCAAAATGATAGTTTGGAACAAACAAAATAAATATCTTCTTAGTATTTCTGTAGTTCAACAGCAGTAAAAGTTGTTCTGTGCAACTGTGAGGGATCATAATTTTGTCCCTACTTTTATGAAAATCTGTCTAGAGCAGGCTGTTTTCTTTTGACTGTCTGGTATCTGTTACTGCTAAACGGGTGTTGTGTACTTTTATGGAATCTAACAGGGGTTATGTGTCCATCTCTGCTGTTGAGTCAGATCTGAAGGGCTATCTAAAAATAATTATGTCCACTCACTATGGTAAACTGTGTTGATGTACACTCTGTAGACTGTAACCCTGTGGTAAAAAGGTTCTCTCTGATTAGGACGAGGAGATACGCACTTCAGTTTTACTGTAGAGAGTGAGAGGTGTTTATTTATTGTTGGAAATAGATGATGGGGTCTAAGAAGATGCTCTGGTATTCAGTTTGTTGATAGATAGGCTATCTGTTCCTGCACTGCATGGTGGGTAGCGAGAGTATTATGAAGGCTTTGTTGATTATCAGGCCAGCTGCTCTTGCTCTCTGGTTGGGGACTCTGTCAGAGTCTCTAATCTGTACGCATTCCTATCTAGAGTTGTGGTGAATGTGACATTCCTTTTTGAATCCTGCTGGATTGACAGATCTCAGGACATGTTCCACTCTAAACTTGCACTAAACCCCTACACCCCTGCTCATCTTCTTACTGCGAACCAGTTCAACACTCTCCACTTTCTGAGCCCCTCAGCATTATTTTAACCACAGGACTGTATGGCGCTTCTTTCATCTATTGTTTAAGTTCAGGCTGTTGTTGCTCCCAGTGGCATCAGGTTTGATATGGCTTCAGCTAACGAGCCTTTCATTATATAAAAACCTTCAGTCTGATGGACAGAACCAAGCGCTACATGCAGAAAAAGCCATGTTTGGCAAGCATGTAGTTTGGATTGCAAGTATTCCAGCTAGTTCACCAGCTAATTTAGCTGAAGTTTTAGTAAGATGGTAAGATAGATCTTTAGTAAGATCACATTCCTTTAGAACTACAGCTGGATTGACTATTACGCTAGCTAGCTAGCTAGCATAGTTGCTATACAAACTGCTGACTAGCGAACTGTCTCACATTGTTTTGCCATTTTCCACATACTGCATGTAGCACTTCAGTTCTGTCCTTAAGACTGAAGGTTCTTCTGTACTGGAAGACTTGTTTGCAGTTGGGGTTCCTTTTGTATAATGCAAAGCCTGCAACTAGAAACAAGATTAAACTAAAACTCTCTATTAAAGACTGGCGACTAGCCTCGCACTTGCACCCCTCTCTGGGGAGACAGAGTTGGACTCTCCCTGGCTCCGCCCACTCTGCTCCTCTCCCACACACCAGTAGCTCCAAGGATATTAAGACTGCTACAAAAACCCGTGTTTTCATTGCGAGTTTGCGAAGTCTCTGTGTACTTTACCTGAGCTCTGAGCCTGTTTCTTGTGCTTGGTTTTCTCTGGTTTTGACCCTTGCTTTTCTCTCTGATTTGGAGTATAGATCTGCATCCTTTCCTGCCCGCCTATATGTTGACCCCTGCCTGCTTTGACAAAGAGTATTAGAAAGTCCTTAATAAACTCACTTTGCACTTGCAACCTGCCTCAGCCCCTACGTTACACCCAGTGACTTAAGACTCGAGTGGACTTCGAACGTCTCTGCTACAGCAAAAACACTGGCAGGAAACAAAGTGACAAAATGTGATAGATGTGGTCAGCGTAAAGTGCAATAGATATCTGGGAGTCCATATCTCTGTTGGTGGTGTGCCTAAGGCTGAGATTAGGCCCTGCTGACAAGGCTAAATTAGTTAACCAGTAACAGAAGCTTATACCACACCAAATAACATTGTGCTAGCTGCATTTCTTATTCATCAAAAACTTACCTCAAACAAAACTTATCTTGAAGCACTTGCTTATGTGGCTTCTGATGCTGTATAACAAACTGTTGTCTATAGAAATATATATAAAAAAACAGACAAAATCCAGGCGTCTAGAGGACTGCTACTGTTTTTAGCTATGTGACATATTGTTCCAGCTTTTGCAGCTCCAGTGCAAAACTAATGAAGCAAACCTCAGGCACTTTAAAACACCACCTCTTCTCTCTACTTTTCATCTACTCTTTCTGATCTCCCACTGCCTTTAAAGTACATCATTTCATGTTTTAATTTGTTGTTGTCCTTTCCAGTTCAAGTAGTGCACCTGTAATAATTCATAGACACGAAGTAGCAGACTTTCTCACAAATATGGTTGTAGGCTGAGATTATATGCAAGGCAAATACTGCCCTTGATAGTCCAGAGATACAGACACTGACTATCAGCACCTTTAACCATGTCACCATAACCATAACGTCTCCCTGGTGAAACTTTGGTGATGCCATTTAAAATCATTAAAATCTGCTGCCGTAGAAGTCGAAATGCCTGCAGGTTCATGTTTATGGCATATTAAAATGGATCAGCATGTGCATTTGGAGCTTTGTGCGCTACCATATCACTATATAAAGGTGGGAAAACAGCAAGTGTCATGCTGCCTTTGTTGTTGGATTCACTGCGATCGTATCTGAGGGAGCGTGTGAACACACTTGGAACATTCACGTCGCTATGCTAACGATTACTACTGATTTCATCAAAAGGCCACCACACACTGGATGCACAGCTTTGTGTAGCAGATAGCACAAAGCGCAGCTATGCCACATAGAATGCGTCACAGTGATGGCGCTGCTAACCATCCTCATTTTAATTTTACAATCTACAAGTATAGCATAATAAAGCAATAAGCCTTGAGAGCCTTCGCTTCACATCGTGTCTAATAACACCCTTCCCTGTGATAAAATCACAAAACCAGCCTAGTAACGTTAGCTGAGGTAACAGGTGATTAGCATTTGTCTGTTCATCTTAAATACTTTGGGTTAACTGGCTTTCTCTATGTATGAGGGTCTCATTTTGGCTTTAATTCAATGCAGTGATGAGTGAATCCTGAGCAGCGCACAGTGGTGCTTATATATATTGAGTAGTGTTGGAAATTAAATGTCAGCAGCTGTGTGTGACGTGACGTGCATTGCATTTCAAGTGTTTACTTGTTTATAAAGGTTATTTATAACACAGAAATCAAAATCTACAGATGTTTGGTATGGCGTCCAATCCAATTCAAAATTCACAAGCAAAACTGAGGAAACTACATTCGTGTGTGAAGACAACTACAACTACGAGGAAAATTAGCCCCACACTTGACTGTTCTTTCTGCTCGCTATTGAGTTTCTGCTCGCACAAGAGTTTAATTAATTTTTGACAGCTGTGGGCGGATCCCATCATATGATTGGTTATTACTGATTTCTGTAACTGTGCTGTGATTGGCTGGCTGTCAGTGGTCGGTAGAGCTTTTGCTGCATACGGGAACAGGACTTTCACTGTAGAAGACGACCTTCAGAGCACACCAGTACAATGGCATTTGTGGAAACGCTGCCTGTAATTAGTGAATTCTGTCTTTGTGAATGTTCAGTAATCTTGATTCGCATGCCCGAGTGTGGTGTCCTCACGCGAGTAGTTCTCGTGCGCGAGGGGTTTTGCTCATTTCCGAATTTTTTTTTTGGATTTGATGCCATAGTTTGTGCTCCTTTGTGTAGGACAGGCTTAAAAAAAAACCTTCAATCAAGTTAGTAGTGTATAATATTTTATTAATGACCAAGGTTTGAATGATCCCTCATACGTGGTGTCTTGTAGGCCTAGCTTTAACCTTCAATCTAGACTAACTCAAACTCTGGTCTAAGGAAGAACGCAAGAATCTCAAATAAGGACACTTTCACACGCCATGCTGCTGCGGCTCATCTCTGCCTTCGCTGTGCAAGAAGAGGGATTTTAAATCATTCACCAATTCTTCACAAATGTCATATTTAAGAGCGAATAAAATGGTAGCAAAGTGTTTGAAAGCCAGTCCTGTTTGCTCAAAGAAGCAAGCGATCGCTTCACCCTCCTACACTGAGCATGAGAAATGATTTTATTACGCGTCAGCCCACACTCTCTCAATGCAGCACGCAGAACAAAGACAGAGAAAGGCGACAAAATGGAGTGATTTAAGGAAAAAGCCATGAAGCAGAGAAGGAAAAGAAAAAACACATCGCCTCACATTTGTTCAGGATGAAAATGGTGAGACAAGATCATCAGCGCAGACCCATCATCATGCTACTGTGCAATTCAGTATGCTTGCATAAACAGCTGTGATTCAGCATCTATGAAAGGAATTCAAATATGTGACTCCACACACGACAGCAATGAGACGCATTTCTGCTGTGAAAATCAGACTCTGAGAGGAAACGTAATGGAGAACAGGTTACAGGTTTCATTAGGCGTCTTGAGGATAACCTACATCAGACAGAGATCAAAGCCTGGTCTAAGGCCTAACTGCTCACTCGCCATCAGTCCGTGTACAGTCACAATCTGTCGCTTGGTTAAGGTCCGCCGTGTGTGTTCTGTGGATTTTCACTGTAAAGCTGGAGCCAGTTGGACAGTTTTTTGCAGGATTACACTGCTTGCATTGTCTGGTGGGCCTCTCGGTTGCAGTAGTTGGAGATTTTGGAGTTGAAGTTTGTAGAGTCCAGGTTTGCAGTACTTATGGTTGAACCTTAGTTGATGGAGATTATAGAGAACTGGAAACTGAACGGGTAGAGCTGGTAGAGCTGGATCCTTCCTGTTCATAAAAAACGAGAGGTCATCGGTTAAAAAGGGGACATTTCATTCATTATTTGGGTTCAGTACAGTTCTCTGTGTACGTCTAGACCACAATAAACAATAAGATAAACCTGTGTTTCCCATAGAAATGTTTAGTTAGTGGTCAGAACTGGTTGTTCACAGCGCAGTCACACAGATAGTCACAACATTTGGTAATTTTCTGCAAATTTTAGTGACCAATTTCTATTTATTTGCTGAATTTTATTTTGGAAAAAAATATAAATTAGAAAATGTGCTATAACTTCTGCACAGACCACACTGTGTTTTATTTTTCCCCCAGTATGTTAAACTCCGCAAATAAACAGTAATTGTGTGATCTGTAGATCATATGACTGTATATGATGCAGTGGAGGATGTGCAAACATGCAGGAGACATTGAAGTGCAGTTTAATTAAACATTACACACTTACAATCATTCACCCTCCCATAGAATGCATTATAAATTATTTGACCTCATATACGTCCCTCTGTGTCCCCCACACTCAATGGTTTTTTTAGCTCCAGTGCTCCAGATGGACAGAGTGGGTCAAAGGCCACATGTGTGTGTGTGTGTGTTTGTGTGTGTTTTTCTGAGTGTTGGCAAGCTCTGGGCAGTCATGCCGGGGCAGTCACACTACATACGGACTCTCAATGCCCCACCAAGCCCGACTCTGTCACTGATATTAATAGACTCTGATTCACACTTCACCCCCTTTAGCACATGCACTGCTCTCCTCACCTTCAGACTCACAGCACTGAGCAGTTAGAGCTGCTGACACCATGTGGACAGCTGTGAACACAGCATGCAGCAGCTTCAGTGCTATGACACACTTACTAAATGGGTCGTCCTTTATCCTGACCTTGATCTCTGTGACTGTATACATTACTCTGCAACTGATAATTCCAGAAAAGACTACCGCTGGCCTTTATCTGATCATACATATAATAAATAAAATAAATAATAATAATAATAATAATAATAATAATAACTGCATCATTATTATTATTGTTATTATTATTATTATTATACTAATATATAATAAATAAATATTTTATTTATATATATTATTAGTTATAATAAATATTACCATGAAAATAAATAAAATAAATAGCCCTGCGATGGACTGGCGACCTGTCCAGGGCGTATCCTGCCTTCCGCCCAATGACAGCTGAGATAGGCTCCAGCACCCCACCGCGACCCAGAAGGATAAGCAGTTTAGATGATGTATGTATGTATGTATGTATGTATGAAAATAAATAAGTACTTCAAAATGTTCAAGTATTCAAGCAAAAAGCTACTGCAGTTAGAATAGAAATTGCCTTTATCATCATCAGATAAGTATAATAAATGATTATAATTATACTATTGTGTTAACAATAGTAACAAAATATTATTTATAATTATATATGGTATACTATTATAATAATAATTCATTATCATTATAATTAATGACATACATAATAAACAGGAACTACTTCAAAAAGTACTCATTTAGAGTACAAATGGCCTTTAACATCTGTTAATAAGTATTATAAATAATTAGAGTAATATTGTTATTGTTAACAACAATAGTAATAATAAAAATAATGCTAATGCTATTATTGGTAGAAGTATTCTTATTGTTTTTATTGCTATTATTTTAATTATATTATGATGCTAGAATAATACATTAGAATTTTAAACAAAAAGGTAATGATAATAGTAATACAAAGTAAAAGACCTTTTTATTAAACACAGAAGTACAGTAAAGATATCTTGATACAATTTAATATTATTATTATTACTATTACATTTAGAAGATGATATCATTACAATAACACATTATAAAAACAATAACAAACACCAAATAATTAGTAATAAAATTTAACTTTCAAATTGTTGTCGAGTGAAGAAACTCAAAAGCTACTTTATATTTCCTTTTCTGTCTCTTTTACACTTATATTATTATATTAGATATTAATTCTCCACAGATTTAAGAGAATATGTTTATTTCAGTGTTTAATATGTTAGAACTGCTCGAATACAGTACAAAATAAAAGCTGACTCTGCAGAAGGGTTTACTCACAGAAGTGTGTGATGTATGTACTGTGAGTGAGATGGACAGCGATGGACACAAACCTGTGTGTGTCTAATCTTTGGTGACCCATCTGAGTTCGCTCTTCACGTTCTGGATCTCAGAGAGGTTGACGGCTGGGCCGGGCAGTTTCACAGCGCCGGGCAGGTGCTTCTTTTCTTCTGGGGTCATCGGCGCTGGTGGCTGAGGGGTCAAAGGGTCATCAACATTTATAACACTGTGCCATTTTGGCCTATTATAAACAACTGGCCAAAGATAGATCTGTGCAGCATAAACACGACCCTTCAAAAGTTCAGAAACACTTATCATATTAATAACTGCTGTTATTTTATTCCATCTTAAATTATAGTGTCGACTGAAACAGTATAATATAGAGAACAGAAGGTATTGTTTGATGTTTTATTCAATACAACAAGAAGATATTAAATGATAAATGATATTCCACAGTTTTCTGTGTATAGTCATTTTGTTATCTGCCTCAAGATGTTGTACACTCTTTAAAAAGATGGTTCTTCAAGGGTTCTTTAGCAAAGAAAGTGGTCCCATATAGAACCATAAACACTCAGAGAACCCTTTGCAAAATTAAAGGGTTCTTTGCATCATGAAAGTGTTCTTCAGATTGATGGAGAATGTGCTGTAGAAGCTTCTATATATAACCTTTTTGAAAGCTTGTAACAATAGCAGAACCCTTTTTTTGGTGCTATATAGAACCATCTACAGCACATTCTCCATCAGTCTGAAGAACCCTTTCACCATGCAAAGAACCCTTCAACACAAAAATCTGATTACATTAACTTCTCTTACAAGTTAAGAATGTTTGTCCTTCTCCTGTAAAGTAACCATTTTGAAGATAGCGATGATATCAATCCTGAGAAAAATGAAACAATGTAATTATAGACAGACTTGTGCAAAAATTAGTCACCCCTGATCAAATTATGTTGATTTTCTAAAAGAAAAATAAATTACACATCCTCTACAGAGAGATTTCATTTCATAAATACTTTTTTAATGTGCTGAATTTAGCATGTTGAGAAAAAAATAAAACGTATGCAAGAATTATGGCACATTTTATAATTGTTTTCTTTTTTCAAATAAATTCTACAAATACATAGAATTGTGCACAAAAATTTGTACAAATTCTCATATTTCAGTTTGTTCACTGTAGAGGATGTGTTAATGTATTTACCCTTAGAAAATCAACTAAACATGTATTGTGATGTGAGATTTTTTGCCACACCCAATACGTTCGATTATAACATTTTATGCCAAATTTCTGCAACAGAGTTTAGTTTATATTATTGAAAATATTTTTTCCAACTTTTAAAAGGTGATTTTAAACAGTGGTGTATATTTCATGTGAGTCGTATATCTGTGTGTGGTGTGTGTGTGTGTATGTCTGTGTGTTGGATGGGATCATGTTTCTCAGACACTGACCTCCTCTGCGTCCACTGTCTCCTCTCTCCTCTTCACAGGATGCCCCGCCCCCGGACGCAAAGCTCCCATCGGAATATTGAGGTTGGCCTTTAAGACAGACATGGGCAAGAGCCAGTGAGACGGTCTTCACCACTACAGCACATCATACTGAGATCAAGCTTAAACTAACATCACAGAACCACCCGTGAACTCTACAGCCACCACCGCTAACTGGCTACATCTAGGATGTTAGGCAGAGAGTGCAGGAGGCTAGCCTCAGCGTTAACGGCTGCCTGCAGTGCCACTCATTGGGAACCCTTGGAAAAATCCCTCAGCTCCACACACTGGCCTTTCTCTTCCTGCTGGACATCAGGACGTTCTACAAAGAGCAAAGTGCTTCTATGAAAATGAGCAGTTGGATGAACAGATAAGACTGTGAGCGTCAGGCTTTTTATCTCTAGTTAGGGGGCCTAAAATAGGCTGCTTGTCTTAGCCTAATTTGTATGAAAACAGCAAACATACAGCATCTAACAGAGAGGAAATACACTGTACGTCCAAAAGTATTCAGACACCCCTTTTACATAGTGAATTTAGCTACTTTAGGTTCACCCATTGCTGACAGGTGTTCATAGAAAAGCATTGCCAATGGAGGGGGATGTCTTGGAGCTGCTGCACATGTGCCAGAGGTCACCATGCCTAATGCCAAGTGTCAGCTAGAAGGGTATAAAGCCCCCCAGCACTGAGCTGCAGAGCAGTGGAACTGTGTACACCGGAGTGATGGAGCTCCATCCAATACCTTTGGGATGAGTTGAAGTGATCCAGAACTGACCATCCAACATCAGTACCTGACCTCACTAATGCTCAATCAGATCCTCACCGCAATGTTCGAACATCTAGAGTAAAGCCTTCTCAGTAGAATAGACCCTGTTACTGCAGCAAAGAGATACAAATTCCCTGTAATATCTTAATAGTAATGTAATAGAAGATACGTTAGATGAGCAGGTGTCTACAAACTTTTGGACACACAGTGTTTGGTGAAGGCATTCAGTCTGAGCAGAAATAGCATTATTTTCAGGTTTGTTATACAACGTCCTGTCCATTTTGTTTGATGACCTCACTGTCATAAGAAAACCTTATATCTCTGAAAACAGTAACTTGTACATAGTCTTTGTTACCACAACATAAAACACTACTGCAAGTAATTACCACACAGTTTATAAGGGAAAAATATTCTTAACATCTGTTCATGTAACTTCTATTTGAAGTTTGTAACAGACATTAACATACATTTTATCTGGTAGCTTATTTATAGTGACACTTTCACTAAAGAGCCAGCTAAAGAGTTGACAGAAACCTGGTTAGATTGCTGCTCGTATTCGCAGTAATGTATTTATAACCTCTAGAAGGCCTAGAGCAGGAATCGGCAACATGCTGCTCTTTCACTGCCCTGTTGCGGCTCCACAGCAGAACTAGATTTGTAGGTAAAAATAAAATAATCCACCTTTGCAGTAAAATAAAGCTCTGCTGATCGTTCAACACAGTTTAACGATAAATGGTCTTAATGTAGAACTGCTAATTCACCAAGGTTTAACCCTATAGACTGGCACAGAGACTGCTGGTCACATAGTACCCCAGACAACAGTCTTGCCTAGCTAGTAGCTAACAAAAAGGCAAAGAGAGCGATTTAAGACGAACATTAATAATTCAGAGACAAATGTACTTATTTGCATTTATAATCACTCCAGTTGGTTTCCTGATCTGTTTAATCTGCAACGAGAAACTGTCAAACACTAAAAGGTCCTGGAGCTGAAGTCAGCTTTTCATTCGCAAGCTTCTTGCTCAAATTATTCCGTTTCATCTTAAATGGTGCAGCAGGACATTCTGGTGCCTCTGGTTCCATTTAAGGTGGAACGGAAAAATTTGAACAAGAAGCTGATAAATGAGAGGCGACTTCAGCCTTGCAAAAAGTCGAACACTGAGAGACATTTTACAAGCAACTATTTCACTTTCTATTCTAGTTGCCTGCTGGAGATGCGAGAAAAGTGGCTATAGCTGAGCTAAAGCTTAAAGCAAAGTAAGTCTGCTATTTCGTTTATATTATATTTTAGCCTTTACTAGTACATCAGCACATACTGAGACATATTTACAGCAAAGATGGTAAAATGGACATAAAATGTTGTGGCTCCCAAGGTGGTTTGATTTTTGTTGAAAGGACAAAATGTCTCTTCTTAACATTTGGGTTCCCAACCCCTGGTCTATTGTGACATTTTTCTCATGAAATCGATCCCACATCATCGTATATCAAAACATAACTCCATTGTTAGTTCCTAACTATGCTGAGGGTTAATTTGATATATAAGGCCTTAAGTTCAGCTCCTGAAGTCCTAACCAGTGGAGGCTCTCGTCTGGCTGGATCTTCCTAGACACCACTAGAATTTTCCACTAGCCAATTCAAGATTTCAACTCTTTTTGGTTTCAAATGAAGCTCAACAATGTAATGAGCAGTCATACAGTACATACCGAGTTTAGATGCAATAAGCATGATTAAATAAAAATAGACTAAAATTTACAGATTACAGCATTTTTTTGTTACTAGGAAATGTCTTTTTAAAAGCCATATATTCCCCACTGGCGAATTGTTTACACAATGAGTGCATCTACATGCTCACAATAATCTGCAGAAAATCAGATTTTGTCAGTAATCTGATCAATGTGTTTACATGTACTTGAGTAATCAGATAATGGGAAAACTCCAGGTCTACATGAGTCAGACAGTAATCAGATTTCTGCAATCAGCCAATAAACTCATAGAAAAAGACGTGACGTAAACGTAATGTAATCTGAGTAAGAGTTTACATGCACTGAGAAATCCAATTACTGAGCTAAAATCCAACCTTTCTTAATCAGATTTCTAGACCTTACTCTCTAAGACACAATTTGAATAATGAGATAACTGCAGAAATCTGAGTATGATCAGATTATTGAGTGCCTTGTAAAAGCCAACTGGCGTGGATTTATGAGGTTTTCTTATGATAGCAACGATAACATATTTCTGTCCAGTATATTATCTTTGTCACTGGTTTTATTCTTTCCAGCAAACGTTTTGCCTGGACATTTTTATTTTCCTTCACATTTAACCCTTAGAAATCACAGTTTTGCTAGCCGGTGAAATTTGATTTTCATAACTTCTTTGCTCGTAGCTCATTGAAACAAGCAGAGAAATTTTGTTGAAAATGCAGATTCTAAACTTTCAGTCTGCAACGCTTTAGAGTTTGAAACCAGAGCAGAAGAGGATATTTTATGATGTATGCCTTGTTTTTCAGAAAGAAAAAGCTTCCTTTACCACTTGTTCATTGCTGGATGTCAAAACAAATGCACAAAAAATGTTGATACAGAATGTTAATCAAATGTAAATTAATGAACTGCTTAACATACTGTGGAATTCAATATGTACTTACATAATTATATTTGCATAGCATAACAAAACAAAGCAAAACCTCAGCTAAGGGTTAAATGTGTTATGGTGTTAATACTCCAGGTCCCCAGCCTGTTGCTTTGTGCTGCTGTAGGACTGGCTTTCACAGCCTCACCTTCACTCACAGTAACGACAGCAAACCTGGTCCGGGCTCACAGGCCTCTCCGCCTGCTGTACTTTAGTGACCATACACTCTTCTTCTCTGCATGCATGGCCAGTTTTTCTCTCTGTCCGTGCCCCTGGATCGGACCATATCTACAGCGCGTGGTGGGCTTTTTATAGATTATTCTGTATATGGAGAGTTTTTATGGACAGAAAAGGTGTCTATTTTCAGCTGCGGTGTCTAATGTTTGTATGTGAGCTGTTCTCTCTGTGCTGTGGTGAAATGTAGTCACAACACAAGCTCCATTACTCTGACCCTTTATTACCTCTCTCTCCCTCTCTCTCTCTCTCTCCCCCCCCACTCTTTCTTCTCTCACATTCTGCCTCCCTTTATTTCTCTCTTCCTCTCTTTATTTCTCCTCTCTCTACCCCTTTTTTCTTCTCTCTCTACCTCTGTCTTTTTCGCTCTCTACCTCTTCTCTCTACTGCTCCTTCTTTCTTTTCTCACTTTTTCTCTGTCTACCTCCCTTTCTTACTTCTCTTTACCTGCCTTTCTTTCTTCTCTCTCTCTACCTCTGTCTATTCTCTCTACCTTTCTTTTTTCTTTCTTCTGTCTCTGCCTCTCTTCTCTTTTTCTCTCTCTACCTCTTTCTTCCTTTTTCTCTTCCCCTTTATTTTCTCTTTACCTCTTTTTCTCGTCTCTCTCTACCTGTCTTTTCTCTCTACCTCTTTGTCTTTTTCACTCTCTACCTTTCTTCTCTCTACTGCTCCTTCTTTCTTTTCTCACTTTCTCTCTGTCTACCTCCCTTTCTTACTTGTCTCTTTACCTGCCTTTCTTCTCTCTCTAGCTTTATTTCTACTTTTTCTATACATTGCTTTTTGTTTTCTCTCTTCCTCCCTTTTTTCTTTCTCTCTACATCCCTCTCTTATTTTTCTCAACCTCCCTTTCCTATTTGTCTCTCTACCTCCTTTTCTTTTTTTCTCCTTCCTCACTCTCCACCTCTTTCTTCTCTCTCTCTATCCTCCTTTCTTTCTTGTCTCTTTACCTTCCATTTTCTTCTCTCTACCTTCTTTATTTCTCTTTCTCTCCTTCTTTCTCCTCTCTCTCTACCCCTTTCTTTCTTCACTTTCTCTACCTTTTTCTGTCTCTACCTCTTTCTTACTTCTCTCTCTTTCTACTCCATCTCACTTCTCTTTCTCTCTTTCTCCTTCTCCCTCACTCCTCCTCTTTTTGCGTCCTGTTTTTCTCTCAGCCATGCTCGGTCAGTGTGGTGGGCAGCAGTGAGTCAGCGCTCAGAGGAACTGTAACTAAAACGTGTGAGTGTTTATTTTTATATGCGGTGTGTTTATCAGGATGTTTGAGGCAGAGAGAAGATTTACAGTTAGATTATGCATATAAAGTACAGACGCAGAAGCATGGGCACCATTCTGTATGTGTTTTCTGTACATCATTGGGCTTGATGTGAATTGTGAAACACTACTGTAATGCCTTGTGCATTTGAAACGTGTTTTTACGGTAGTAACTCAATGTTCAGAATGGAAGTTTCTTTCTGAATAAATTATGAAAATGTTTATGCGTTTTTGGGTTTCTTTAGTGAGCAAAGCATCAAAAAGACTATCATCAGGAAGGACGCAGCCTGCTGTATATTAATGTAATGTCTCAAATATTGTGACGATTCATTGAGTAAAAGACCAAATAAAAACTTAACTGAGCAATACGAACTATGGCAGAACACAGCCTTTGAATCCGGAACGAAGACGTCATTACAAACTTAAAAAATGGTGGTGTCAAGTTTAACAAACTAAATAAAGTGTGAACATGAAAAAATATTAGCAACACTAATTCTTTAACATTGATTTACTTTCCTACTTTCCCATCCGCAGTTCCAGGCTGAAGCCCAGCTGCTTGCGTGCTCTTGCTATGACTCCATAACTGTAGTCCTCTCATTCAAATACAGATTTTATGGTGGTCCTAGGCAGCTGCCTACCTTTGCCTAGTGCAAAGACCACTCTTGCACGACGGAGCTGGAACATGCAGCCACTGTTGCTCTCACTAGATACTGGTAATGAGAACTGGAACCTGCTTTCACCTTATTTAGGTTCAGGTTGAATTAGAGGAATCAATAAATCCTGATGAAGCATTTTTCCACTCATAAAGCCATAACGCTGCACTGCTTTTATCATTATTTAAGGTCAAATTTGGGCAAATATGACAAATGTGATTAAATTGTGATTAAAGCTGCACTGTGCAAGATTTGGGGATTTGGGGACCTCTCTGGTGGAAATGTATAACTGCATGCAACGTGTGGAAGAACACTTTGTGGTGTGGGCTGTGCCTCAGACCCCTTCCCCGAGCGGATGAATCTAATGATTGCGAGTGAGTTGAAGGAGAATCTGAAGAGAATTCAGTCAAAACTTGCTGAAGGACGCGTCTTCTGAGGATGTGAGTGAATTTCCTACTGTCATCATATCTTCATCAGTATAATGTTAATTTTGCATTTGAGACCTTAAACATCGAGCTAGTCCTTCTTTTTGAGTCTGTACATGCGACATTAATATGTAAAGACGTATGACATGGTCTGAAAAACTCCTGCAAAATCCAATCTGACACCTCCGACTTTTAAATGATTATTTCAGGCTTTACAGGGCAACTCTGAGCAGCGCATGCTCAAACTATTTTAGTGTGTTTTTTTTCAATAATTCTCTTTTTTCTGTTTTAACAAAAAAATCATTACATAATACTGCTTTAAATACACAACCTAACGAGATTAATCATGATAAAGCTTTTTAATCATTTGACAGACCTAATAAAAACAAAAAAGCATATAAATAGTCTGTCAGGTTGTTTCTTACCATAAGACTAGGAAAATTCAAAACGTGCCTTATTATCACGCAAAGTGCCAACTAATCACTACTGAACAAGTGAAGAAAGTAGGTTTTAATTGCTTTTTTAAAATTGAGGAAGTGTGACAGCTCTTCTGTAAATATTCACCTAAGACTATTGATCTTTTTTAAACTTGTTTGAGGATGAAATGAAATGACGTGGACACACTCACACATACAGAAACACACGCAAACACACTGTTATGCTCACCTGCAGGGCTTTGACGTTTGATGATGGCTGTTTAGACATTGTGTAGATTGACGTCCACGATGTCGCTGCAAACAAAACAGAAAGTGAGCATTGAGCGATCCGAATGTTACCCCACTGTGTGTGTGTGTGTGTGAGTGAGTGTGTGTGACAGTGTAAAAGTTAGGCCATTGTTTGCTTGTGCCTTTCAGGTGCTGAGGGATAGTCTTTCCGTTGCTAAGCGACTCCTAAAGTGAAGAGGCAGGGAGGCACTGGACCACCTGAATCATTCATACACACACTCAGTGGAGTTCAGGTCATGAGACACACACAAACACACACTAGCGTTCTAAATTCTGGAGTATATATATATATATATATATATATATATATATATATATACACATACACACACCCAGAAGGAAAAGCGGTTTATTGTGTGTTTGTGTTTATATGTGTGTGTGTTGTCGCTGTCCAAAGAAAACCATGCATCTCCATTTTTGTTGATTTTCATTTTTCTACATCATTTCAACACACCAGCTGTCCTTCACATTGTGTAAAAAATTCATGATGAATGGACCAATAGAAATGCTCTAAAATCACTTGGAATAAACCCTCTTTACAATGACTTACAAACTCTATATGTTTGTAATTACATTATATTTTTCTGATGATAGATGAGTTAAAACCAGGTATAAAGCAATGCATTATATTAATGTTTTTACTTCATTCTCTCATGAAGTAGTGTAGTGCATTACAGTTTAAATTCATGTTGCTGTAGTTATTGTAACTATTGTTACTGTAGTTACCAAATTTATTCTAAATTTATTTTCTTGGTAATTGTCTATTTATAGCAACTTCTCCTCAATGTGTCTGTATCATGATCTGACCACTAAGATCCTAATTCATATAGAATTTTTTTAATTTTAAATCTATAGGATCTCTGATGTTGCCTGAGCACAAAGCAGCCAAACCATGTGGCTAAAAGTGAGTTTTAATGACTTTTTATTGAATATTTATCATATTAAATCTACTCTTTTGGTCACATTTGTATCAAAACCACAGAAATTCCTAATTTGATCGTGAATAAAAGTATGAAAATTGCATGTAATCAAAAAATGAAAACTGGGTACTGTTAGATGTTCTGCCAAAGTATAACTATACAAACGTCCACCACTTTAAACCAATCAGAACAGGTTCTTTTTCTTAATTCTTACTTTATTCATTATCATACTAAATAAATACGTTTTTTTGGGGGTTTTTTTTATTGTGCCAGTCTGTCTGTTTGATTTGTTTATCTATTTAGCACAGCTGTCATTATGGAGAGGAGTGAACTGTTTTACCCCAGGAGGTTCTCAATCCTCCCCTTTCGCCCCTCATTGCTCACTAGCAGCTCAGCACAGTCACAACATTTCACACACAGAGAGCCAACAGTGTCCTAGTGAATCTGATAACAGAATAACGAAGAATATTTCTCACTGCTTATATGAATTAAACATATCTTAGTTGATTTCCATTCTACTGGCCACTAGGCCTGCAGAAAGAGGTTAAATAAAGTTTTGTTATCACTTCTGAAATATTAGCCATTCAAATATACCTGTATTCTGGATATTAATTTTACTGTAACTTCATTCTGAGTCATTTTAAAAACATCCACAACTCTCTTTATCCTTGTGAACACAAACTTCCTACAAATACAGTTTTAGCACCAGCATCATAGAATCATTTTTGTATGTATCAGCAACTGTTTATTTAATTATTGAAAACAGTGATTGTGAACATCTAAATGGTAAAGATGTAAAGATGTAGCTCTTTATTTCAATGCAAACAGATTCCCTCACACAGCAGCATGATAAAAAGCCTGTGCGCTGTTTGGAACTAGGAAAACAAAAGACAGGGTGATAACGGCCGCCTTCATAGAAGGATGAGATGTAGAGATTACGGACGGTTATTATCATAATCTAAATACACGGAAATGCACTTGTTACTCCATCTCAGTCTGAGCATGTAAATGAACCTGAAAATGCCTCTGGCGAATTAGCACAACATGTCCTGGGATGTTGGCTCAGATGTATAGAGACCACAGATAGTACAGACGGTGGAAAAGTGTCTCTTACAGCCACTCATTACCAAACATGTGATGTGTGAACAGAGAGAAACTGTAATATTTTTAAATGGCTCATTCTACCAATTTGGTTCAGATCAGAGCTGAAATGTTTCAACTTTTCACTGACTTGGACTTTGCTTCGAGTGACCCAATACCTTAATTATGTCTATCTGATTAGACATTCCACTTTGTCACCATCAAAACATCATATCATGAGCTAAAATTGTCACTACCAAAACAGTCAACTTAACCAAATGTTTCGGTACTGACAATTTTAGCTCATTTTGAGCAGAGTTCAAAAACACTATCCAGTACATGTCTAGCAAACACAGCTTTGAACAGTTGCACACACATAAAATCATAGTATTTTTCATTAAAACACAAAGTTTATAAATGTTTAAATACTGACAAATTTTAATGTTACACACTGATTTTCAGTCTTCACAACAAATTGTATCTAACTGCTCATCACGTGGCCATGAGGGACAAGGATACAGTCTCACTTCCTGCTTTAAAATGCAGGGGTGTGGCTAAAATAAGGCTCCACCCACAGACTAAAACTCTGTGTTTCGATAGTGACGTGAGGACAGCACTTTTTAAATAAAGTTTTTAATTTAAAAATTAAACCCATAATGAATCTAAGCCTTTCAACTTTTAAAAAATAAAACTTTTTTAAAATTTAAGGTGAAAATTAGGCTGTTCTCCCAACAGAAAGCACAAATGATGATTTTGTATGTATTTAGCTTATTACTATCTCAACTAGTGCATTTGGTTGAAATAGATCATGCATAGTGTTTGTAAATATTTAAAGTCTGAATACTTCATTGGTTTTTAAATATTTTTTGGGACCTGGGTTCAGTAGAATGGTCAATATGTGAGATAAAGTAATGATACCATTTGCCTGAATGTGCTCTATTTATATTTCATCTTGGGTTAAAGTACAAAAAACCATAAAAGTACTGTGAGTTATTATAGTTGTTATTTTGATAAGTAATTTCTATCAGCTTCACAGTTTAAAAATAGTCTTTGTTAATTAACGTTAAAGGCTACAGTCTTGCTTACTTTACACGTTTTGTTGATTTAAGTGGACATAACACATACTCTACAGAGACCATAAGGGCACATTTTCTATTTGCGTTTGGATAAATATTGGAAAGAAATAAAGTATAAAATATTACATTCCATAACTTTTTCACAGGCTACATTTTATGTTTTTTTCTCTCAATATGTTAAATTCAGCAAACAGTATTTGTGCATTATAAATGTACAGAATGTTCTCAAGATGCATTAACTTTACTTGATTCAAGTGTGCACATCATTTCCAAATGAATGCAGTATATTATACAGTTATTACACATTACACAAGTACGTCTTTCAGTTTACTTACTGTTGGCAATCACTGTTGATATAATAGAAGTTATTAAAGTGCTCATTTGAATCAAGTAAATTCAATGCATTACTTTTTGCTGTGTAATTAAAAGGTGCTCGCTGCAATACGACGGCCTGTAATTTAAGATGTTTTCAGGCGTAGAAAATACTTATGGGGCATTTTGGCCTAAAATCAGTGTTAAATCTGTTATTGCATCTCTCAGCCTCATCAGTTCAACAGATTTCATGATGTATCCTCCCTGCGTTTTCATCAGTGTTCTTGCACTACAATACCCAGCATGCATTGTGTAAATACATCATACTATCAGTGAGAATCTTTACACACAGTGATAAAGAAATGCACAGATGTGGAGGCTGATAAATATAGACATGATGCATGACTTCCTAGCAGCAACTTTAGTTGTCAGGCTTCCTTATGAGGTAGCCAGCCACAGAAAAAAGCCCTCCTTCAAGTATCCGCCCCCAAGAATTGTAGTTTTGAAGTTGTCTCCACTTTCAAGATACATCATCAGAAGGGGATTCCATATTTTGAACTGGAAAATCTTTCTCTAGGGACCACTGTGGCACCACTGAAGGAGACAAGTAGACATATTTACAACAGATGTGCACTGGTTGCATTTTAAATTTGGCCAGAACGTCCCTTTAAGAAGGTGTATGTCATATAATTTTGGAAGATTTGTACTTTACTCTGATTATTTACATTGAGTACTTTTACACAGTTACATTTCCAAAACACAAAAACATACACTTTTTTCTCTTCACATTTAAAAAAATTCATGAAATTTTTTTGAGTGCCAATCAGCTGAGTTTCTACGACGGCATTTTAGGGCCACTTTAAAAAAAAATTGAAAATAGCAGACTTTGAGAATAGTCATAATATTTTGAGAAAAAAGTGGGATTTTATTCGATTAAAAAACACCAGATTGTTATTGGTATAAGAAACGGCTGAAACGGCGGTGCAACAAACTGTTTAGTGACCCTTATTAGTCCCATAATGGTGAAATTTCACCTCCGCATTTTAACCCATCCGTGCAGTGAAACACCACATACACACTAGTGAACACACTCACAGAGCAGTGGGCAGCCTTATCCACGGCGCCCGGGGAGCAGCTGGGGGTTAGGTCCCTTGCTCAAGGGCACTTCAGTCACGTACTGTCAGCTCAGGGGATCGAACTGGTGATCTTACGGTCAAAAGGCTGGTTTCCTAACCTCCAGCCCACAACTGGCCCCAATGTTTATTCAGAATAAAGAACCAGACGGACTCGGAGGAAATTGTCTCCAAAGAGCGCATGTAGTTTCACAGGAGACAGTGAGAATGATAAAATGATCGATCCTGAAGGAGTGAGTGGATCTCTGGCGCGCTCGGCGTCTTCGTCGTCACCACTACAGCAACTGAGACCCCAATGCGTTATGGCAGCCCCCCTACAATTAGTCCACTTTATCCTCGAAATATCGCAAGTTTATTCTTGTAACTTTACGAATTTATTCTTGAAATATTACAACTTTATTCTCAATTTTTTTTTTTTAACAGTGGCCCTAAAACGCAGTCATAAGTTTATATATATATATATACATACATACATACATACATAC